TGAGGTGGTTTCCACGAATATCGTCCCATAGGTGTAAGCCTATGTGCTTTATTGTAGTATTTACTTTGCGTTTTTATACACAATATTGTCTCACTTGTTTGTTTCCAGAATTTTTGCAACAAAGTTTTACACAAATCTTGACTAATTTACTTTTTATTTGGGCTACAAATGTTTGATATTACATGATACGCTGTAATTGGTTGGCAATACACGTCATGAGTAACTGCCTTAAACATCAAATGTAATGTCTACATGGCAACCCGATATGTCTCCACGGAGCAGGCCATTTTAAATGGTTATTGGAGCCATATGTCCATTAAAATCTGATTTGCTGTTTAAAACCCTTTACCAAGAAGGGTATTTCAATGAATGCTGATTGGGATTATATATCCAGTACTGCCGTAGGTTCCCAAAAAGTTTCTCCCGATTTTATGGCAAAAACAAATGTAAATTTAAATAAATTTTATTGCATGATAATTGATAAGTACAACATTCAACATCTATAACATCCAATTCAATACAGGTTGACTATAAATCTTTTTACAATTAAAAAATAAACTATCATTTGGTTTTAAAGACTTTATTTATGATCGGGCGAAACTTTTTGAACACCCAGGACCCAGTATATGTCAGGTTAGGGTTAGGTTATAATTTTATTTCGATTTTTCTTATTTAAGTTCTATCACGGCTTCGTGACTGACTTTGTTAGCCAAGTGTATACCCCCTGCCCATAGGTTTCAGTCTTTTTACATAATTTGAGGACAAAATAAGTGAATAAAATTATTTACCTACACATTGGTTCACATAGTCTACTTCTGGAGCGCCATATATCGAACCCTATCAATACTAACTTTTGCGAAAATATTCGAAATTGAACAGATTCAGAAAAACGATAGTATTGACCAGAATAATTAACGTTTTCGCCTCATTTTTTTCCTGATATTGTGGAAAAACGAAAGAAGTCTCTGTATGAGTTGCTATTGGACACCTTGCGTTTGGTGTTGAAAATAAGTTTGAACTAAATATCTTGGACGTCTAACACTGAAGGTCTGGTCTTACCATCTAAAACATTATTGGTATATTAGCGTACAGCTATGCTTCGCGTAATGATGGGAGAAGGTGACCCGACCTGGCACTATCCTGCTATACCACTGACCCTGATTTGGGGGCGTGGGAGACGGGGTGAAATTTTAGCAGAGGTGTTCACTCCCTATATGGGGGGGGGGGGGGGGGGAGGGAAATCACTGAGCAGAGTGTATATTGAGGGTTTCAAGACCGAAGAGGCTTCAAAGTATTTCAATAAAAAGATGGAGGCGTTGACTGACCCGCCCTACCACTGATTTGGGATTAGTTTGGATATTCTGATTATTTTAGGTTAGGTAAGAATGAGTTGCGCAATACCCCAACTCGGGGGTTCCAAAACCACGGCCCGCGTAACGGTTTGAAATGGCCAGCCGAACTTAACTGAAATAGTTTAACCCTAAATAAATACTAATATATTTTAAAACATAACAAACTGCGATGCTAGGTGTATCTAAAATCAATTTTTCAGCCTATTTTTTAAAATGTTCTCAGGACGGTTGAGCGTGACGTTCAATTGTTCTCTCGCAGCCTTTTTTCCGCTCCCCTTTCCCAACCCGCAAATATACTTCTGATTCAGATTTTGGACCGCTGTCAATCAACTTTTGGAACCCCTCCCTAACCGAACGCATGCAAAAGTTCGTCTAACTGTCATTGGTAATATTCAAAATGAATAAAAACTGTTTAGTAAACCCGGAACTTACGGCAAACTTTGGGATAACCTTTGATCTCAAATGATATGTAATACCATTATAGTATTTATAAAAATCCAATTGTAAACGCCTTATTGACTTTGCTACTTTACCAAACCCTCGTAAACCTATGAAAGGCTGCTCACCGACCGACTACTTAATTTTTATATAGCAAACATCACTTTATAACCAAGCACTTATGTCCTAGTGTGTCTTCTTTGATTATATAGAATCAAGACTAGTTTGTTCTCAAATGTAAAAGTTCTTACTTATGATACATAGAATTAAAGGACAGCCTTGAAAATTAGCGGGGAAGTGACAGGAGAGTTCCAAGTATGTGTACCGATATGGAAGTAACTAATTTTGTTCGCTTATTTTACATTAAGTTGTGTAAAGGGACTGAAAACTATGGGCAGGGGAATATTCACTTGGCAAACACAGACAGTCCTCGAACCCGTAACAGAACAAATATAAGGAAAATAGAAACAAAATTATGCCTAACCTTAACCTGGTACACATACTACGGGAGTATCCAAATCACTCACACAACAATCATAACGAATATTTAAAAAATACGAAAAACTAAAGGAAAGTTGAAACTGTTGCAGAACATATTGACATGCTTTCTTTATTATAGTATCTTTGTTATTTATCCTTTAGTAATCTAGTTGATACAAAAATGATCAAATTGGAAACTAGAATTTGATTGATTTTCCAAATGCACGGCTTCTGACCAACTTAAAAAGGAGTATAGCCTATTCTACACAGTAAAACAATTTTTTACTTTTTACCCCAGGTGTCCCCAATTTTGCCCTGAACACGGCTCTAAATGAAATTATTCACCCACCTCGAAAAGTTCCAGCAAAGCTGCTATAGACTCGCTATAACCGAATTCTTCGATTGAGTAGAATTTTCCAAGTACGCGACTATAGAACATATAGTTTAACTCAATCAGTGCGTTAATCAACACAGATATTCGAAAACTCTGTGTTTTCCGCCTTCCGTACAGCAAAAGCTGATGCAATGAAAGCCGACAAAAATGGCCGCCTGATCAATACAGCGATCAGAAAAACCTGTTAGTTAGCTTCTGATCGGTCATTCGTCCGTAGGCCACCAGGAATTCCCTGGAGGTAACGTACAATGTTGAGCACATACAACGTGATTTCGATTTAATGAAGTTAAAGTGGCAAAAAAAGAATCCAACAAGACCCACAAGAAAGAAACTTACTGTTTAGATAAGATAAGTAGAGCATATATTTTTGATTTTTAAACCCTTTAACATTTTATTCAAACTTTGATCAGAAAACAGTTTATTTTATCAAATAAACTTTTTCAACATTCGCTCTTTTGTCTCGAACTATATTAACGGCCCATTAGCTGAATATTAATATTAGTTTGCATGTTCGCGAGATTAGATCTTCGCCAGAATGCTGACATTGTTTCAAATGAAACTAGCTTTAATGACCACAGTTCAACTCACGACACAAAATTCAGCTATGCATTAAAGCGCCATCAGTGATGCAAGAAATCAACGTTTTTGTGGGATAGGATATATTAAAATTTAATTTTCGCAATTGTCGGATTTTCGTTAAATTATGCCAAACTTCTTTAAGAATAAAAAATTTATGATTTCTGACATCTAGTTAGTTTTGAGGATATTATTTTATTCTCAAACTTGGTATTAGAGTGGTAAGATATTGTTTGTTTATACGCTTTCGTCTCGGAACAAGGCTCTGCTTAAGCAGCAACTTCTAGGTAGAGTGCTATTTAGTTCGGAAGAACCGTTGCGGCACTGCCTACCTAGTTTATCTCTCCTCGGTTCAGAATGTTCCCCAGCTTTTCATTTTTGAGGGGGTGTGTCCAAACTTGAGGGGGTGTGTCCAAACTTGAGGGGCGGCAATATGGTAGGCAATGATAGGCATGTTCACTCATGGGTGAGATGACATACACGGGTTTCAATTCCGAAATTGTTTAACTGCGATACATCATATAGTTAAGCCTAATGGTTTAAATCAGTGAGCCACCGCATCATCTGTTGTGTTAGAAATGGTATAAACATAGATGAGGGAAAGATAGTTTATACCAGAATTCAAGATTTTGCAATACGTATGTTTACGATTCTGCCCACGAAGCGGGTCTATATATTTGTTATGGATATTTGGTCAAAATCATAAAAGTCACTAACTCAGAAAATAAGGAAATTCATCTCTAAGCGACTACTGAAAGGCCAAGAGTGCATGAGAAAAAAATAATTTTAGCGTGGCATTGCGCGTTACTAAATACCAATTGACAAGAGACATAAAGTAGTTATTTTTTTGTTTAAAAAAATTGTTGTTGTCATAATATAAAATATTGCTGCTCTTCCTAATTACCTCGTATTATGCCCACTCATTACAATTAATGTGGAGGGGCCCACTCCGTTAAAACGCGGGCCAAATTTTGGCAAAAAATTTACTCAAGTAATTTGATAACATTGCGATTAATTTAGTTTTGGCAAGAGGCCTATTGTTTTCCACTTTTGCTTCTGTAGCACTGAGGCTTACCTCGTTAAGACAATGCTAAATAGCGAAATAAATGTGTTAATAAAAAATGGAATAAATATGGAGTTTGGGGGCTAATATCAGAGAACTTGTCTGGTAAAAGATCTCTCTATCTCATGGGTGGGAAAATTATGGCCAGAGGACTGGTTCCGAACCCCCGAAGTGTTTCATCCGATCTACTTGTGTATGCTAAAATTACGACTGTAGTTTTTAGGTATATAAATTTCCGTTGAAAAAATGGATAAAATAACGTCAAAATAACGACGGTTGTTACATTGTGTTTCCTATTATTATATAAACGTTAGCCTAGAGCTGCAGCTTTTATAGATAAACTTACTTTTTTACTCATTGTTTTCCATATTGAGTTTTGAGCCTTTGCCCAGTAAGCAAGTTTATTATCTGTAACAAACCCACTCGGTAAAGTCATTTCCCATCCCTGCTCTGTCTCTTGACAAACAATGGAGGTAGGAAATGAAACTTATACTAGAGCTTAAGCAAACACTCGGTGTAATTTACTAAAATTATTTAGGAATATTGTATGAACACATCATAAACTATTTATAATGTACAAAAGCCAGAGGAACTGTTGCGCGTAACACAGCAAAGAATACTTCAGATACCAAACTAAAGCGGAAACAATAGTTTTTATGCAAAGTGAGTCAGGTAAAGTTACCCAAAACAGGCAGACGTATTGCATTTTAACTTTTCTATAAATTAGCGAGGTGATTTTTATTGAACAACGTGTGATCTTTTCTGGCTTATATACAACTCGAAAACGTATGATCGAAAACGAATGACTTAATCATTATCTTTTAACAGTTTATAAGTTATAAAAACTTAGAACATAAAAGGAAAGAATGATACCGTACACATTTTGGAGCAAACCATCAAGCTGGAATTTACAAAGGGCTTCGAGGATTACCGGAACCACCTGACACGCATCATGGTTAATTCACTAACAATAAACATAGATAAAAATATCAGCTGAATTAAAACCATGTTCGTTATATGGTTGGACTGTCGTATCGGCTTTACTCTCCCACGCGAAAGTCTGAAAGTTTTATCTTATCTGGTGACCGAAGTAAAAGCCAAGCTCGTTATATGATTGAGCCATTTGCTGACTTTCCTCTCCCTTTGGGATAAATTCTATTTTTAATCAAATGGAGATATAAGTATGAAGAATATTGGATTACAAAAAAGGATATCTTAAATGAAATAAAAGCTACAGCTTAGCAGAACGAAGAAGTTGTGTCGTAAGGACCACATCAACTACGCGATTTGACCGGTCTTTGGAATTCGCTACGAGAGAATCACTGTATTTATGAGTAAGTTTGCAGTTACTGTAAGATTCCGTGTCTAGTACAATTAGCCAAGTGATTCGACCAATATCGCATCATAAAATAAAGATAAAGTTTTGTACAATAATATAATTATGAAGCTATCTTGCCAACGGCACAATTTCATAAAAATAAAGAAACTCGCTCAGGTAATTGAAAAAGATACAACTCATCTACCTCATCTGCTTGGGCACTTTATTATAACATAAGCCAAGGTTGGATAAAATAAGTCCATCTGGAACAAATGCCTGTTTTTATGTGATGCTTATTTCAAGCCAAGGTCGGATAAAATAAGTCCATCTGGAACAAATGCCTATTTTTATGTGATGCTTATTTCAAGCCAAGGTCGGATGAAATAAGTCCATCTGGAACAAATGCCTGTTTTTATGTGATGCTTGTTTCGTCACACGATTTAGCCGACTTATCGGCTTTTTCTCTCCGAGAACTTAAACCCTGGCCGATTAGCAAAACTGAAAACGAAGATAAATATGAAACTATCGTAATGTTCGAAAATAAACTGTTGGTTTTCACCTGATTCACAGCTATCTATTCGAAGTCCGGCTGTAGCCTCGGTTTTCTTTATGATCTGCCGACAAAAACTGCATTCATATTCAAAAGTGTAGAAACCGCAAGGGCAAATGCTCATTCATTTTTATACGATTATCACTCTGCACATGTTTCTATTGCTGAGTAAATACAAGGTGACCCTAATGAAACGTTTTAACCGTTTATATATATTCACTTGTTTTAGTGCCGAGCAATGACGCAATAACCAACAACGCTATCTCCCGAGGATTGTCATTATTACGTTCGGAAGTTCATATTTGACGATAAACAGGTAACTTGACATTGCTAGTACTATTCACAATTCCGAAAGGCGACGCCGCTCAGCTGAGAAAGGTGATGCCCCAATCACGACTCCGCATGATCTTACAGCAGTGGATTTTAAACAGGTGAGAAAAGTAAGTACGAGATACAACCGAAGTGAAATCAAAAAATTTGAAATCAAGCATTGATATATCTTCTATACGTACTCTATAATCTATATGATTCGTCTACAAAGTCTTGCGCAAGTATTCCACAGTATTGGGAAGACTCGAGACATTAATTCGACCTTCGAGTTAATCATATATCAAAAAATATTAAAATAAAATGACTCGTTCTTAACTTACTGCCAGTGTGACTTAGGTTGGTAATTCCACTTCGGTCTCTAGACACGGATGACCTGTACACGGGTCTTGTGTAGTTTCGTAACCTAAGTACTTCAGTGGGTGTAGCATAACGATTTTTGCACATGTCAATCCTAACCCCGACCTGACTACGCCATCCCAAAAATACGTCACTACGTCATCACATTCACGTCATAGAGCTTGTTAAAGTATACTTACGATGTTTTATTTGTCAACCATGAGGCTCTCAAATAAATAATCACGACATACGCCAGTGACGCATAAAATAGAGGAATTGACAACAAAGACAAATATAACAGTAATGTTAGAAATATATAATGATTCCCACCTGCTTCTTAGCTATTCCATTCCATTTGAATTTCAGCTGCAGCCACGGCTTTGTTTGCGAGCATCCTACAAAACTTCACTCAAAAGAATGGAAACGCCATAGCACCGGCACCCATGCTCGCAGCACTCGCGAACCTTATGTTTTGTTTCACTCCGGTTGTTAGTATGGTTTTCACGCTCGGGCGCCTTCAAGTTGATTACAAAACATAGTTGCCAACTATCTTCAATATTTATCACTGATTATTTCCTCGTGTTTGTGTTACTAATATTACTGAGAGCCTTTTCATGTTGAATGTGCCTGGAATTAGTTTCTAATATTGTCTTTTTTATTATGCTTATGCAACTACATATTGGGACAAATAATAGATCTGACGAGTAGGAGAAAGTATCAATAGTCTCGGAGTTGGAAAATATGAAAACATGTCAAACTCCGGGCACTCCAGAAGTGTGTTCACCAAGGTGGCGCACAACCTGATAACCCTAACCGTGTACACACACTATGTTCAGGTGGTGCGCCATCTTGGTGCACATACTTCGGGAGCACCAAACTCCGACCTCGCAGCCCTGAAAAATACACACCCGAACATGGCTAACTAACTCTTTGTCCGCCGTCTAGAATGAGATTGGCTCATCACCCTTTCCTCCATGCTGGGATAAGTTAGAAAAGGGGACAGGATATAAATAGATAAAAGTCTGCTAAGCAACAACTTTCTACTGGTACAGATTGTCACGCTAAAATATTATTTACATTTATTGCAGGGCAGCAGAGAATATTACAATTTAAAAACCTCCGACCCCAACATGATGGACGTGGTGAACCTCGAGAAAAAGACCTATACCTGGCCTGGAGCTTGCCTTTTCTCTGAAGATTTTCTACACATTGGCTAACGCTGGTCGGTTACAGATTTCAACACGATCAAGCCCATGCATCTGGCACATGCACAAATACCTGGCTAACTAATCCCATACCCGACGTGGTAACCGAAAGAGAGGCCGTGGTTCGCCATATGATAAAATCGTTCTTCGTTTTCTATGAAATCATATCCTAACCATAAGCAGTAATGCACTCGGCGTCATACGAAGCCCACAAAGAAATAATCGATCGAATTGAACCGAATTTTAAACATGGATCGTATAAAACAGTTCAACTTTACAAGAAAACACGGGTTGCCAACACTTTTGCTCGGAATAGATATCACCGAGAACCAATCTACTAACTCAGTTTGCTATATCACTGAGAACCAATCTACTAACTCAGTTTGCTATATCACTGAGAACCAATCTACTAACTCAGTTTGCTATATCACTGAGAACCAATCTACTAACTCAGTTTGCTATATCACTGAGAAGCAATCTACTAACTCAGTTTGCTATATCACTGAGAACCAATCTACTAACTCAGTTTGCAAACTGGGGGAGCAAACGATAAATTTCCACATATTGTAGCCAATATAGATCACTAAACTACAAGGCTACTCTAATCTAAATCCATGAACATTTGCCATATATCACGCAAGCTTAAGACCCGAAAGTACATCATCCTGTTTTCACTCCTGTATATTAATTCAATATCACAATGCTTTCAAGCTTAAAGCTCGGTTTAAGATTATGCCAGCATGTTTGCACTAACATTCCTGTATTATAACAATGCTTACAATCTTAAAACTGGGTTAAAGAGTATTTCATCGTGTTTTTTTAGTTATTCGATGTTACAACAGGATGTAATACTTTCATTAGCATGATTGAGTGTATACTTATCACTTCATTTGACAATATCTTTCAAGTCTATACGTTTAAAACCTATTCTCTCTCCTGACTATCAATTATTTTAGTATCTGTAATGTCGAGTCGAAATGAAATTATTATAAACTTAGTTTTGGAAACTTGCCAGAACTTCCGCCCTGCTTATTTCGTTTTAAATATTTAATAATAATCTAAGTAATAATTATCTTCCTATCTACCTTCTAAATTATAATGATATATCAGAGCCAGCTTTTGTTTCAGTGACTTTCCTTGCCTTGTAAAATTGTGTGTTCAATCTTATTTATTTTAATTCCGTAGGCTATTTTTACAGCCTGAAAATAAAAATAAACTTGGCAATGAATATCAAAATCTGGCTTCCTAATTATAGTCGTACATTTTGTTTGCATTTTTATTTAATCAGTACGTTATACATGATAAAAGCTTTGATGAAATCATCCAATAACATATTTCAATCATCTAGAGAAGACATGGGCCAAATCCGGCCCGTTGGTTAATTCAATCTGGCACGCTTGATGCTACTACAACCAAACTGAAACCAGAATTTTTGATGTTTTAGCTAAAAATAGCTCAAAGATTTTTGTTGAGATTGTGGTTGAATTTAGTTTTGGCACGAGGCTTATTGTTTTCCACATTTTCTTTGTAACACTGTAAATATTGTTCATAAAATGTAGCTTTTTACGTGACACTCACATGGCCCGCCAGACTAGGTAAGCGGATTTCAATTTTTCAGTAAAAATATACGGAAAAAAGAAGAGAATTACACCAATCCAACCTGGTTCATAAGTGAGCTGTCGGTTCATTTTTCCCCTCCATTTGAAAAATTTTAAACATTTGACAAATAATTAATGTTTTCGAAGTACAACTTTAACTAAAGATTCATAATACAGAAAATATCGATTAAAACTTACTCAAAATTTATGAGAGCGAGAGATAGATATATATATATATTTTTTTTAATCAAAATACAAGCAGTCGTCAATGCGAAAATAAATGTAAAATAAAATTGCTCTGGTATTGAAAGGAGGTAGCGATACCGAATCAAAATCTTTCTCATTTGAAGTAATGTATGAGGAATTAATGTAAGTAATGAATTAAGATTATATATAACCAATATTGCTTTGTAAAATTTTATTCGGTTAGAAGTGTTTAAAAAGGTTGTGTATTGTCGGCTTGGTTGTTCAAATTTTTTATTCATTTTCGTGTTGAAAATTCAAAATAAAATGTACTGCAATGTCCAAGTTGTCGTTATTTTATCTTTGTGATCAGGTTCGCTTATGGCATCATTCGTCCGGCTCGTAGAACCTCCAAAAGCTCAGGTCTCTGCCATCTCCGTTCGGTTCATCGCAGCTAGTACGGAGTTGACCACTTCTACTCTTCAGATAAGATGCTCCATATGGTGTCGTAAAGCAGTGGCGGAGTGACATAGGTACCACATGATGGACATGGGATTTGCTGAGCATGGGGTTCGATGAGGACATAACTGGGCCATAATAATTGTAGAGCTCCATTATCTGCTGGTCAGTCAAGGGTTTGGACCACATGTCCAAAGATGAAACAAGTCCTTTCCAGTTACCTGTAAAGGAACAAAAAATAGTTCAATTTTCATACCAAATGGTTTCTAAATCCAAATACCTGTAAAAGGATACCAAAATTCTAAATTTGGTCTTGTTCAAAAAAAACATATAGAAGTCGATGTGTAGGGTGTCCATGAAGTCTTCACATTTTTACCCAACCTTCCAAATTGCAAAGGGACTTTATTAATACCATATTTTGTAATGACTCTCACAGATGTATTAAATGAAGTAATAATACTCAAATAATTACTGATTGAAAAACAACGAACCTGGTTATTAAGATATATTGAGAGCTGACCTCATAACTGAATAAATTGAAATTGTAACAGGACTTTATGGACACCCTGTATATTCAATGTGTTTGAAATAGTTGCGGAAAAGTTGAAATAAACTATGGTTGGTTCTCCATTTATAGTTTCTTGGAATTAGAAAACATTTTTGGTCATATCGGGAGACTTTATTTTCGCTAAATAATAAATTTACCTAATACTAACTTTTCTAAATTATTGTGAAATAAAAAATTCTGAATATCCTGTATCTGAATTTCAAACACAAATATTCCTTTTATTTAGGAAATTTGTGATTGGATTTTCAAATTTATCTAGGGGGTAAGGAAAAATAGGTTATTCACATGGCGTACCATAACTTTAATCTGGTTACCAGCCCATAGGTATGAGATTAGTTAGCCAGTTATTTGTTCCAGATACACGGACATGTTATACACGGACATACAATATGAGGTTCTCCCGTAGTGTGTGTACCAGGTTAGGGTCAGCCCATAATATTATTCCGTTTTTCCTTATTTTAGTTCTATCACGCGTTCGGTGACTGTCTCTGTTGGCTAAGTAAATATACCCTCTGTTTCAGTTCTATTGCGAGTTTGGGGACTGTCTGTGTTAGTCAAGTAAATACACCCCTGCCCGTAGGTTTTAGTCCCTTTTCACAACTTGATGTAAAATAGGCGAACAAAATTAGCTACCTCCATATTGGTACACACACTTCTGGAGCGACCAATATGATGTCTTATCTGTATTATTCGAATGCAGAAGTAGGAAATAGAAACATACTCAAAAGATAAGCAAAATCAGATAATTTACTATTCTGAATACACTAAGAAATTATATTTTTGATTACGAAATATTTAATATATTATAAATTGGCTCATTAGGTTGGAGCATTGGCAAAATTCTGCGAAAATTATTGTAAATTAGTAAAAAATTCAGCAATGCAAAATATATTGCATTTATGTGGTTCAGCATTGCCTTCACAAAATTGAGTGAGGTGTTGGACATGCGATTTTAATCCAAGATATGTAACGTGTAACTTACGATGTCGACACAGCAGTTTGACCGCTAGGCCAACGTTTCCTGACAAGCAATAATTCATTCATCTCCAAAGAGGAATTTTAATGTTTCGGTGAGGAACTAAGGAAATACGACTTTGTTTCCAGTGTAGTTTTACTAATAATATTTATTATTATTGTAATACAAATTTAAACGCACATAAACTATTTTACTGATACAAAATCCAGAATGCTAGTTGCATTTAAAACTAGCCAAAGAGCCGTGGAGATTGGACAGATAACGGAAACCAGAGCCTTTATGCATAATGGGGGAGGGGAGCATAGGTTACAAAATAGGCGGAAGGAAGGAATTCATTGAAAACGAAACCACTGGCGAACTGCGCCAACAAAAATATATAAATCAAACCTCTATTTCTCCTTCCTCCCATGTGAGATCTTCCTATCCTGAGTGTGACATCAGATTCCATCATTTGGTTGGTTTGCTTCCTGTGATGAGAAAATGTATGATGAAGAAAAAGATCTGAGTTACTTAACAACGGGTTCAAGAACTGTTCCCGGGTTGTATGAGACGACTGAATCAATAAGTTGGATTAAAGAGTACACTACCTATGCTTATGTATTACAGTGATTCGCTTAATATTGGATAATGCAATACGAATTTGGTTCAATATTTAGGTAAATTTGAATTGAATAACTGGCTAACTAATCCCATACCCGGTACAGACTGGTAACTGAAAGAGAGACCGTGGTTCGCCACATGATTAGGCCGTATTATCGATTTTCCTTTCCTTCAGGATAAATAACTAAATCCTATCCTAGCGTCAGATATGAGGAAGTAATTGAAAATAAAACTCTGGCTGTGCTATTTATTATTAAGGACAATATCATTTCCGCAAACATTTAAGAACTGCTGATTTACATGATATCATTTGTAGAAAATTACTAAATTTGATGTCTGTAGAATTTTGAAAATTTTTGACTCTAGTGTGCAATTGAGTGAATTCAGAAAAAAGGGACGCAAACGCAATAATGAGACTGCTTAATAATTATATTGCAAACTACAGCCTCTCTCTCGCGAAGCATTTTGCGATGTGCTAACAGTTAGACAAAATTTCGAATATCGTTTACTCAATTTTTGCCAAACTTCTCAATTTTCTATCAACTACTAACTTCCTGAAGCTCTTTCCCATCTTTATTCCATTAATAAACACATCAGCACTCGCTTCTCCATTCAGTCTTGCCGTTATCAAAGTCCATTTGTCGAGTGGGATATCGTAAGTATAGAGGGATCGGACCATGTACTCATATCCATTAAGCCTTATCTTGAGCCAATATTGATCAACTCTGAAAGATAAAACAAGATAAAGATTAGATAAGGAAAGTAATTCAAATAGATATTCGACTTTTGATCTTAACAAGGCTCTGATGAGCATTTACTAATATGAAGGAAGCTACTGTGGCGTAGTGCAATCGCGAGTGTGTTGGATGAGCAAACACCACTTTTTGACAACACCTTTTAATCTAAAATAAATAAAAAATAAAAAATCCCAAATTCTATGAAACCAAGAGTTATATAGAAATGGAGTAACATTACCTTGGTCGTTTTGCAAATATAACGATTGGCAGCTTTCCTTTTTCTGATGCAATTGAGTATATAGCATATAACTTTGGTTTATTGAGCTCAGTTGGAAAAACTAAGATTGAAATAGTAAATCCTTCGCTGTTAGAAAGCATTTTTTCAAAATAGTCTGTCCTTCCACATTCAATGTACTGGTTGACTCCATTGAAAAGAGTTCCTGAAAAAGATTTGGTTTGATGAATAGAATTTCAGAAGAGGAAAACAGATAAGACGACTTCATATTGTAAATGATGATTTATTGTTCGTTAGAAGTTTGGGATACCTTATCCAAAACAGTTAATCAGATTCCAGTTTCAGATAAATGGACTTGATGATTCTTGGGTACTCCCGAAGTGTGCGTACCAATACGAAGGTAACTTTTGGTTTGCCTACTTTACATAAAGTTGTGTAAAAGGAGGGAAGCCTATGGGCGGGGGGTATATTTATTTGGCTAAAACAGACATTCCCCGAACTTGTAATAGACCTCAAACCTAAAATGAATTAAATCGGAATACAATTATGGGCTCACCCTAATCTGATACACATACTACGGGAGTATCGGAAAGCAGGAAAGACGACTTCATATGGTCAATGACGATTTATCGTTTGTTATCAGTTTGGGACACCTTATCCAAAACAGTTACCGTAATCAGATTTCAGTTTCAGATACATGGACTTGATGATGATTCCTGTGCATGAATGTTTGCCGCGCGACACCCGCAAACCAAATGGGATAATCAGACAAATTAGAACAAGCATGTTCCTGTTTCCAACACTCATCACCAATTATTGGCCAAAATTACTTTTCCAGAATAGAGGAGAGAGAAGCATTGAATTAAAGCTCTTGGTAAACGAATATTGAATATAAATCTTCTGGACCCTCCAAATCAATAAGTATCACAAGCTTGGCGGTGTGATATCGTGCTAGTTAGAAATGAGCGTTAGGAGTATGGTCACCATCGCACCTCTGATTACCCTGCATAGGTTCGCAGATTCGTATCTGTGAGGATAGTTATGTGCGAAATGGTTGCTAGACTCCTCGCTGTCATAGGGTGGTTCATGGAACCGCTAGTCAATTACGACCTCCTCCACCATCAAGTCCATGCATCTGAAACAAATAACTGGGTAACTAATCACATACTCGTCAAGGACTGGTAACTGACAGGCCGTGGTTTGCCATATGATTGAGCCGTCTTATCAGCTTCTGTGAAATTCCTCCCTTCATTTCAAGTCTTGCGACAATTGTTATTTATAAGCGTACCTCAACACATTAATCCTGTATCTCTTGAGAATTCAATAGCGATGAGTTAGGTAAAAATTTCCAAACAAACTTACCCGGAAGTCCTATATACGCTTGTGAGTTTTCAGCATTATTTGGTGCAGCACATTGTGAATCACTGGAATATTTCATCATCATTTTGTAGATATGGGAACCGGTGTCATAGTAGAGACCATCACTGAAATCTGCAAAAGAAGTTGAAAAAAATCTGTTCGATCTTCATTAAACCTCAATGAAGCATGTGGTACAGGTTTCTCCCACTCCTTTATTGGTTTTCAAAATTTTAAGTGTCGCGGCCTACCTCAAAAATAACTAGCTAATATTAAGCCACAAATACCAAATAGTAAGGCAAAAGCATGTTTCATTCAAAAAATCAGGTTAAAAATACGTGGATTGAAAGTGAATAATGAACTTAATGAAAAGTTTTGAGATATAACTATCCAAAATAGGGCAGACAAGATCATATCTAGCATAAACGTTTATCTTGAATTAGTTTCACGGCCCTCAAAAAATTGACTGCGCTCCCCCTGTGGAGCACCACTGATATAGCTGAAGTAACAAGACGAGAAATAGAGGGTTCCTTGCCTATTGACATCTACTTTGGCATAAACATGAGATTGCTATTCTAAGTCTAGGCAAGGACCCAAGCAGTCATCATGATACTGAAAACTCCAATCAAGATGGCATGTTTGCCATGTCATTAAGCAATCTTATTGCCTTTCTTCTCCTCAAATAAATATGTAAATCCTGTCCTATTTAGTTGAGGTTGTCATTGCTAGATCTAATGATACTGGTCATAAGATCGCAGGCTTGCACCACATTAGCATGGGGTAAGTCAGTTTGCTTGATACCAACAACCTAATTTCGTTCGCATGAAAACTGAAAAATAAAGCGGGCAAAGGCCATATCGCGTCCGGTTGCCAAGCAATGTCAAACATAGTAATATTTAACAAAGCGTTCTTGCCAGATATTTGATACTTAAAGTAGTTAGCAAAGCTCAGGATCTCCATGTTTGAAAATATAGAACATGCATACCTGGACAAGGGAATTTAATATCTTGACAATATGATTCTCCATCAATTTCTCCTTGAACAATTGGCTTCGATTTTGATTTTGCTAAAAAATAAAATACAAACATAAAAATGCGCCAACTATAAAAATATTTAAATTATAAAACTAGGGCCACACTGGAAAATATTCCAGTAACTAATAGTATATTTTTTTCACTGTGTTGAAAATGCACTTTGTTTATTCAGAATGTATAAATTTGCAATTTATTGCGCTTCCATCTCTGCTTGGTTAAAGAATTTTTTAGATTTTAAATACGACACATTTCATGAAACTGGTGACTCTATAAAAAGCTCAAAAATATCATTTCACTGTGAAGGTAACATTGAAAAATTTGAAAGCTGTTTCACAATGGAAATGTCATTAAGTCTTGAAATTTTTTAAATTGCAAAGGAGTTTGTAACTACAATATATAATTTGTTGGTCCCCTTCTACATGTGTATTGAATGAAGTAAAGTAACTTTTTTAAACTAATAAATAAATAGAACGAATCTGGTTAAGCAATATCAAGAACTGACTTCGAAACAAAATTGAAAATGGAACAAGACTTAATGAACACCTTCAGTCTTTGATTGGCTACAGACTTGCTCTGAGTGTGAATACTGATGGAGCTTTCTACTTACGTGGGCATCCAACACATGCTTCTCCACACATTGCACAGACATTGCCACCTTCTGCTTCTGGGAGTGAGTACATAACTGCTGTTCTTTTAGCTGGAAATAAAAACAAAGTCGATGAAAATAAAATGACAATTGGAAAATTTGAAAAAGATTTTTTGATATTCTCTGGGCTTCTCCTCAGGAAGGAAAAGGTCTAAGATGAGGCAAGCTGCCAAGGATCGTGTTAGTAAATAAAAACTGCATAACATAATTCTTATTTATCTGACTTTTTTACACCCAAGTTCATGATTTGATTAATTCAAGATCAAAATACAAACCTGGTTCATAATAATCATAGACTTCCATTATTTGTGGTTTCACTCCAGTCACTTCAGCATATCGACGAAACTCCAAATACATACAATTCAGTTCGCCCCTACGGAGCTGTAAGAAAAAAATGGATTTAATTATTAAGATACAATGCCAGTTGCGTGAAATGCTAGATATTGAGAGCGCAGTTGCCAATGCACCTCTAATCGGTAAACCCGTAATTTTCATTCCGATTTTCCTTATTTTAGATTTATTACAAGTTCGGGGACTGTCTGTGTAAGCCAAGTGAATATACTCCCTGCCCATAGGTTTCATTCCCTTTAGACAACTTGATGTATAATAGGCGAACAGAATTAGTTACCTCCATATTGGTACACACACTTCTGGAGCTCCCGAAATAATTAGATATGAAGAGCTCAGTTGCCAAGGCATCTCTGATTACCCTGTACGAGTTTGCAGGAACTGTGGGGAATATTTATCTGCAAGAGGATTGCTGGACTACTCAGCTTCTTGTAGGAATTCATATAACGACGCTCCAAAAGTGTGTGTACCAATATGGAATGCAGGTAACTAATTTTGTTCGCCTATTTTAGATTGGGTTGTGTAAAGGGACTGAAACCAATGGGCAGGGCTAACACAAAACAGTCCCCAAATAAAATTATGGCCTAACCCTAATCTGGTACACATACTACAGGAGTACTCATATAACACGTGGTCAAATAAGGCTTTCCCAAACAGCAAGTCTCTGCATCTGAAACGATTAACTAGTTACATAGAGGCCGTGGTTCACCATTAGATTGAGCCACTTTATTAACTTTCATCTCCATTGAATATGTGTTCAAATTTTATCCCTAACTAGCATTCAAAGTTACACTTATAATATATTAATGAAACATACCAGCGCAAGTCACATTAAAAAAAATTTTTATAATTATTTTGAGAAGACAATGTTGAGAACGTCTGCACATTTCAGAAAATAGAAATAAAACTTTAAATGGATTTTTTTAGACTCTAGACTTGACATGGGCAAACTACAGCCCGCTGGCCAAATCCGGTCAATTAGGTGATTCAATCTGGCCCGACTGATGCTGCCACAACCGAACTGAACCCAAATTTTTATGTTTAAGCTAAAAATAACTAAAGGAATTTGTTGAGATTGCGATTAAATTTAGTGTTGGCACGGAGCTTATTGTTTTCCACTTTTGCCTCTGTAACATTGTAGATATTGTTCATAAAAAGTAACTTTTTACGTCACCCCTACATGGCCCACCGGTCCAGGTGGGCTCTGGCCCAAAATACTTGCCTACCTCTGCTCCATATCCTGTTGTTTATTTGGAGTGAAAATATAAATCATTTCATTCAGAATAATAAAGTAACCTCATCAAAATATCCTGTGATTCGATCTCCATCAAGTTCGACAAGTTTCATTTCATTTTGTCTCGTTGCTTCTTTATCGTCGATTGTGTGTCCACTAGGTAGCGCTGTTGTTATCACAAACATTCCAGTGCCATCGACAATTTCTTTTCGATCATAATTGATTCTAAAATAATAGGGCGGGTTCTGTAAATTTTTTAAATTCCATGTGTGATCGTAAATAGTACATACCCTATTTGAATCTTTAAACTAGTTAATGTGTCGCAAACATGCCCCCTTCTTTTAGTACTAACATTTACCTATTACATTGATTTTATACTTTTTCTTTGAACAATGCTTAAAACCAGTAGCTACGCTTCGCAACAACAGAAATTTTTCCACTTTGAAGTATGTCCCACCCAATTTATTACACCCACCTAGGTAGTCAGGACCTAGTAAAACATTTACCCTTCAAAATTTATTCTTTCAGGCTGTACAAACAAAAAATTGAGTTCCATCTATATCGCTGCCTTTAAATATTCCCAAATAACAAAAACGTCACACTACCTGGAACAAACTTGTAACCTGACAAATTCTTCCTGGTATTGTTCTTGAACATTGACGTTTAAAAGAAACGTGTCGTCGCTTCTTGGACCGACAGGCAGGTTATACCAAACAGTGACTTGCACGTCACCTAATCCTTGACCGCTGGCTTCAATCATAACGTCTCCTGTTACAGCAGGAAGCTAAGAAATCGAGATGTAAGTTGAGTCGTTTTTTGTGTCAAATTTTACCTTCCAATCAAATAAGGATGTATACCAGTAGTTTCAAACTACTATGTTGTTGCATTTTTTACTATTGTTGCAATGCTCGTCATTTCTGGTTGATAAAAAAGACATCTCTCTCTCTCTTTTAAACAATCACCTGAGCCATTTGCAATACGATTTGATTGCTGTCCGAGAGTTGGAAAGTTTCCTCGAAATTTTCATCTCCGCTGTGAGTTACTTTGATATCAAGATTCATTGTACGTTCAGAGAATAATCCAGCTACTGTTGAAAGAGCTTGGATTGCCATAACAGTATCCTGTAATATAAAAGAGAATAATTTATTACAGAGAAAAGCTAATAAGGAAGCTTTATCATATGTCAGACTGAAGCCTCTTGCTACCAGAGCAAATGTCTATCCTCGATGTAACTTTCTTGGATTTCTGTATTCAAACTTATTGTGTTTTTTGTTCTTCTCAAGTCTCTTCGGAAAACAATTAACTGGCTAACTAATCACATACTCGACATGAACCGGTAACTGGACGAGAGGCCGTGGTTTGCCATGTGAATAAGTGGTTTTATCGGCTTTCCTCTACCCCGGGATAAATCTGTAAATTCTATTACTATTCTCTATTTATTTGTTGAACATAACCCAACATAACATATTTGAAATTTTTATTTCAGAATGTATTTGCGAATAGTTGATATTACTCAGTTTTGGTCGATGCTCCCCTCGGCTTCTACTTTGTCAACAAAATTGAATAATTGAGCATGAATGTAAAGAATGAATGAATTCTGCTTGTCAAACATACCTGTGTGGAATGGTATCCTCCGAATGCACCACGTTGTTCAACGAGCCATCTAACAATGGGCATGATGTCTTCTCGTCCCATCTTTACATAAGTCAACAGAACGTACGCTGTAGTTTCAATAGACGCTGTGCTTGGTTTATCATCATCCATCGGACAATATTCTCTCCTTGCTTCACATTTTGACATTCCAGTTGTCTTTTTCACCCAGTATTTCATGTTGGCTGTAGAATTCATGGAAAATTTAAGTATTAGTTGAAAATTCTAAAAAAAGCGTTGGCAAACACGAAAATGGGATAAATCTCATTTTGCTACAGCAAGGATTTTACAGACAAATGCATCGGTATGTATCGGTTCAATGTTGCGTTAATTTATCCAAAACTTTGCTTAATTTGTTTTTATATTTTTTTGGCTGCAATTAATTTATTCTCTTTTATTCGTTTGTCAGCTTTTTATTATTAAACATGACATATCAATTACTGATAGAAACGCCTTGAAAGCAAAAACTAAGTATTTTATAAAAGAACAAACTACTCAGAAGGCCAAGAACCATTGCACTCTCAAGACAAATCCTGTATATTTATCTGATTAAGAATTATGAAAGGATAGGATTTACATATTTATCCCAGGGTAAAAGGAAAACTACGACATCTCGTACGGTTTCGAGTCCATGTTGGGTATGAGATTAGTTTGCCAGTTCTTTGTTATTTATTAGAAAATCATAATCTTGGTATCACTATACCTTTTACAGTTGACATGCTATCAATGATGTTCAATATCATTGGAGCTTCCATGCTTTCAACAAGAGAAAAAGCATATCCCATGATAGACAGAGTGTAAACATCTCGAACTGATTCAATTCTGGATTCCAAATAAGTTTGAGTTTTCTTCATTGCAGCTTCCACATCCTGAGAAATTATGTAACGAATTATGATGCACACTATACTCGAAACAAGGCCCTGGTCAAGTCAACATTATTAATGAACTTCGGTGTGCACTGATGAACAGGAAATTATACCAAAACCAGGATAGTTAGAGATTTTTTTACCGAATATTCAGTGGCAAGCTACAATGGCTGGCGTGCAAATTGCCAGAACCTCAACTCAAAGGTGAATATATATGACTGAGAGCGCTTGCCTTTTCTTTGAGCAAATTCACCTATGAAAGACAATGGATGGAGCGATTTTAATCTTAACTAATACTTACTTCATTCTTTTTCCAGTTTCCTTCAGACAAGGCAATCAGCATATATGAAGCCAAAGTTTCTTTGCTGTTTACTCCACCCTAGAATGAAAGATATTCATGTTTAGGTAAAAATAATTATTACTATAGAATTTCAAAAACACTGAGAACTAAGGAATGAAATAAAGTTTTACTAGTGTGTTTTTTATTTGGTTTTTATATAAAATTACTCACGGAACCCATGTAACAAGAAGGCTTAAGCATATGGCAAACTACCCTTTGTTACTAGTCCATGTCAGGTTTGGGAATAGTTGATCTTAAATCCTGCTAATATTTATCGATCTAGCCAGCCTATGAATAAGATAATTATTGGACACAAATTTACTTATGAATGGCTTAGTTTTATTGTTCTTGCTGTTCCTATTGGAACGATGTTGTGAACAAATCAATTTTGAATAGTACAGAATGATCGTATTGACATGGACTGCTTTCAAGTCTCGTTGCAATCAGTATTCAGTGATGCACAATTCTAAATCTTAGTTCTTTATAGTCTCAATAGCTCTTGGCAATTTAACAAGTCACCCATAAATTGGCTTAGAGATTAAACCTCTTTATTTCAAAGTGAGTGATTGTCACCCTGCTCTGAGTTTCAGTGGTACCTGTTATTGCAATAAGAGAGAAATATCCTTGATGTTTTAAGTCAGTGCATGTGATCTTGAATTGAGTAACCCCCCCATTGAAAAAAAATTACTTAAACCTGCATATCCTTGTGAATTACTTTTCCTGGTTCCTTGAATGTTCCGTCTTTGTTCTGTTGTTTGAGAATGAAGTTGATGGCTCGATTGACCTTTGACTCTTCAATAAGGTCACTATTGAGTTCTTTAGCTGCGATGAAACATTTTGCAACAAATGCGGTCAACCATGTACTGCCATAACGATCCTTTGAACCGAATGCACTGAATGAGCCGTCATCTCGTTGGTATCTGTGTAACAGAATAACGTATTTCAATGAAAAAAATCACTCCACGAATTATCATAGAATTCCCAATATTATCAATATTTTCTAAATTATTTTAGGATAGGATAAGATTATCAATTTTACCAAGGGGAGGGGAAAGCCGATAAGACAGCTCAATCATATGGCAAATCAGTTACATGAACCTTCCTCTGGCGCGAGGAGTCCACCAATCCTCTCGCACATAATCAACTCTGCAAACCAAACTATACAATCACCTCAATTCATTAGTGTATCCTTCTCTGATATGAGATTCTGATTTTTGTTTGATTTTACCTTCCAATTCACCAACTTTCTTCAGATACAAACTGATATAAACATCAGGTGCGAAGCCGACCATAGTTTGTTCGCCACATCCGCTCGGCATTTGTAACAATTTACCAAGATTACTGAGAGCGCTTCCAAGAATGTTGCCTGGACAAAAATGGGCAAGAATTATTTTTATACTTCAAAGCACAGTGCATGTATAGCTTAATGGTTTGAAGAGAGTATTAAAGCTGGCTGAAAATTTTCCAAATCTCATAATATTTAAACTGTCCAGACATTTTAGCATTATTTCAGAATTTGCCTATAGCAATATGTATAGCTTCGATAGGGAGTTCTGACTACCTTATGGTACTGATTCCCAACATATTAGTTATCAAAAATACTGATGGTACTAATAAGGGTGCTGCTTATCGATATATTAGTTGTCAGAAACACTAATCAAAAGTTCAATTTTTAATATCAAACCTGAGACAGAGAACTTGACACGAGCTGACCCCTCCACGGCATCTTCAGGAATGTTGACATTGAAAGTTACTGATTCAGTAACACCATCATCTGTTTCTTTGTCAATGATACTACTGTGAGATTCAATCTTCTGAATTCCCTCAGGCTAAAAAAAATATTAATTCAAAATCCATAAAAGATTAAGAGCCGGACCAAAATTTTATCCTTTACCCTGAGCAAGGATGTATACTAGCAGCCACTACTGATACATAATAAGCTGACATGGGATTCTACCATAAATCTTAGACTTGCAAATGCCCTGATGAATGTAATTGTAAGTCGGGGATACACAAGAGTTCTGCGTAAGAGTGGAGATAATTATTCTAAATAAGGGGTGGACAAGGTTTTCAGAGCAGGGGACTGGAATTTTGCCCACTCAGACTGGTGGGCCATGTAAGTTTAACGTAAAAGTTACATTTTATGAACAATATTTACAGTGTTACAAAAGCAAAAGTGGAAAACAAAAGCCTAAAATAAATTTAATCGCAATTTCAACAATTTTCTTGAGTTATTTTTAACTAAAACATCAAAATTTGATTTTAGTTCGATTGTGGCAGCATCAGGCGGGCCAGATTAAATTACGCAACGATCCCACTGGCGTAGTTTTCCTATGTCAGTGGTAAACGATTCGAGTTTCAAGGGTCAATCATCTGTCAGATTAAACGCTATTCAGAGCGCCGAGAACAAAGAGTCACATGCGACTCCGGGGCCACAGGTTTTTGAGCTATCCGTGTTGGTGTGAAGCAAGACTATATTATAATCAAGATTTTTCGAATATTCTTACTTTAACAACCATAGTTCTTTCTACTGCATCTCCAGCTATCGGTGACGTTGCTGAGACTGAGATTCTTGCTGTTCCAACTTTCTTGAATGTTATCGGGAAAACAACGGTCACTGAATCTTTGCTTGGGATTGTCACAGTTCTGATTGGTCCAGCAGCAATTGGGTCATCCCCAGGGATAACAAGGTCATACCATTCATTTTCCTCAAGAGTCAGAGTGACCTGAAATTTTATTTCAACAAAATTGTAAAACGGTTAAATAGACAACTTTTGGTCACTGGCACTCACATAAAAGAGGTAAGTTATTGAAGGGGCTTAAAATGTTAAAGCCTGACTTTTTATATTCAATTCAACAAAATTATAAAAACTGGGAAGTGAGCTTCTTTTTTATACTATTTTGGTGACTGTCACCCACATAAGGAAAAAACGTTTATATAGAGACAAGGCCTAATTAAAAGATTGACATTCAAGTTTTTTTTTCAAGATTCTCTGTAATTTTTCATATTTTTTTGCTCCTTATTGAAGATTCTTCACAAGCTGTATTACATAATCTGACCCAATATGAGCTGACTCTGATGGCCGTATCGTCGTATTGCTCCATCCAGTCGCTACCAGAAAACATTGTGCCTTTTTATTGTATGTGTGCTTTCATTTATATGTTTTTGGTTGACAAATCTATAAATCTATTTGTAACTATGATGAAAATTGATTTTATAAGTTTGGATAACTCACTGTAAGCTCATCATCAAAGTAGTTGAAGAGAGTCGTCTTCATGTTGAGTGTTTCTCCTTTGATCATGGTTGGAGGAAGATTCAGAGAGATGAAGAAATTGCGGAATACTGTGATCTGTGACACAAAGAAAAGTTAAATTAAATGAAATTCTGATTTCATGATAAGATGTTACAATTTATAGGAACTAAGTAGGCATGCGGAACACCCCCTGACTATTAGGACACCAGCAATTATCAGCCATAGGATGCCAAATTGGTTCGCCAGATTTTATATAATAACAATTTTAACTACATGCTTTCATCTGATTACTTCCTCAAGCTAGGATAGTGGGTTGAAATTGTTTCAAATATATATAAATTGCAAAGGGAATTTATCGATACCATGTATTGTTTTGGCCCTCACAGATGTATTAAATGAAGTAAAAATAATTTAATACAATTACTGATTTAAAACACAAACTTGGTTAAGATATATTGAGAACTGACTTCATAACAAAATTGAAATTGTAAAGGGACTTTATGGACAACCTGTGTATAGACAGGAAGTAAAGGGGGCCTTAATTAGCCAACAGTTGGTTAAACTGCTCTGACTGGTGTCAGTAGTGTGATGTGATGGCGATCATGCTCCTAACACTCAGTGCTCGTTAATATCACATATTTATGATTATAAGTATGGTTCTCAAAAACTGGCAACACTGTTTAATTTACAACGTCACATGTTTCATTACACATATTTGATCCGGTTTTGATTTATTTTATTAAACTATGTCAGGGGTTCTCAAACGATTGGACGCCCCTCAAAAGGACGTAGACAATTTTTTGAGGGAGATGTAAAGCTAATTAAAAATAAAAACATTTGTCAAATTTGATCTCGTCCGCCTTATTTTGGATATTTACATTTCTTTATTTTGTATATTTAAGCTCCATCCATGTATTTCCATTACATGTAGTACATTTTTTTGAATAAAACAGCTTTACTATCTGTTATTTGTAGCTTACTGTTAGCTAGTTATTTTTTGTGGTTTATTTTCCATCGTCACATGTTTCATTCACATCATTAATTTGGTCTTAGTTACTTTTCCAATATATGTAAATAGCATGATGATGAGCAGATCAACAAACCTTTGATGTTTCATCGGTGACTCCAAGACCTTTCTCATCAGAAACAGCAAAACTACTGAGCTCCCAGGTAGTGATTGTATCAGGAGTGTTGTAGGTAAAAGTTGCTGAACCATTCTCCCTGGATATACATTGTATTAGATTTTTTTACATTTTTGAGATACCAATTGCAACAATACCAATTAACAATAAAAATGCAATAAACTACACTACAGCAGGCAAACATGCTATCAAGTCAATATATGTGATGTTAAATATTTCATGCAACTATTTTTCTCACAATGTAATCTAATGGTAAAATCATGCAAGTTTTTTTTAAAAAAATAAGGAGTTAAGGCAATAACAATACTGGCCAAAGCAGATGTAGATCATTTTTCTACTAAGCTGGTTGAAAGTAATAATTTCAGACAGAAAGTTTCAAATAAAGCAGAATTGGATGCCAACTCGCACGCATTTATTTTAAGTAGTTAAATTAACTAGTTAGTAAAAATGGTCTTTGAAATGTCTGAGGTGTATATATAGAGACAGGTTTGTTATGAATGTATGGCTGTAAAAAAGGTTCAAGTACTTTAAGTCTTGGTTGGTAACATACGAAAGCGATAATCTCTGAAAATACCAAAGCATATACAATACCAAAGACAAAATAGAAACATGGATTTAGTAAGTTCATGCCGCTACATCAAATGTAATGTATTGTGAGCATTAATTAGTTTATACAACTACATTTAGAAATAGTGATGTTTATATGATCCCAAATTTCCAATCACCACCTAAAAGACCTTTTCTGCTGCTGATTTGCCATATAGACCGTATGTTAGGAAAATGAATGAAATGACATTTGAACAACATTATTTGTGAAGACCAGTTGGACGACCCCATAGGCAACTACATATGACTAACACACACAAAACAATTTTTAAAGCATGCACTAAACTCTAGTGAGAAACACTACAAGAAACAAAACATACGCAGTAAAACGAGGTATATCTAATTGCCAGGTAACATCACAAAAATGATGAAACAAGACTCAAAGACTTGTGAAGTTCGGAAAGACTAACAAAACACACAAGACACACTCCACACAAATTCCCATCCTATCTGACTATCTGTCCATATTCAAGATTCAGGAAAAAACTTCTTGTTACAGAAGAGGCAGACGCTGAGCTTTGAGTTACTAATACTGCATTGACTGAAGCTCTGTCACAATCGGTCATAGCAAACATTAGAGGTTGCGAGTCTTCAAACCAGAAGTAGTTAGAAGTCAGAGGATACACAGATTAATTCAGGCAAGTAAGTCAAGTAGTGTTAGGTGATGAATCTTTTCATGCAGTATTTAGTATTTAGAGTACTCCTGTAGTATGCGAACCAAGATGTGGACACCGGTACGTAGTATGTGTACCTGGTTAGGCCAAAGTCTTATTCTAATTTTCCTCATTTTAGTTCTATTACGAGTTCAGGGGACTAGTCAAGTGAATCCCGTAGTATTTGTACCAGAAATTATGGCCTAACTCTAACCTGGTACACATACTACGTTCTGGTGCCCGCTTGGTTCGCATACTTCGGGAATACCGTATTTAATCCTAACCCTATTTTGTCTTCGGTCCAAATCCAGGTCTCAGGGAAAAATGATCTTTTTTTGGGGGCAGAGTTTGTGGAAGCTGCTAAATCCTCTTCCGTAATCAGCATTGCGCAATATATAGATCCGTCTTCGGTCATGTCGCAGCCATGGTAATCGCTCACTAATGAAAGTTTGAAAAAATAGAAATATCACTCGATTAAAGTGGGTTGGTATTTAAAATTATTGATTCATCAGTATTTTATCCTCAGTTATCTGAATATAATTAATTCAAAGATAATGTAAGATTGAAACAATTGAATAGAGTAAAAATTTTCCAGATAGCGTACCAGCTCAACAATTCAGAAGCAGCAGCGAAACAACGTTAACTGGCATATCGATTGCGGAACCGCAAAACCAAGATATTCGTAGTTCTTACACCCACAAAAAGAATCTATACCAACGAGGAATAGTTTCCGTGTGCAGTGAATGCAATGCCTGACCGTGTGTGTGAGGTGCAAACGCTGTTTTAGAAATTGCCTCACCCTGCTTCGAATTATGCATAAAAAAATTTGATATGTAGAGAAAAAGTAATGCCATCAGAGCGGGTTTTGCAAACGCTAGCATCCTCTCGGCATACCCATTCCCATATTTCTAGCTCCAAAAGGCCGAAACGGTCGAAAAAAGCTACCAAAATCTGTAAAATAGTTGTATGACGTCATCAGGGTATGACGTCAGTTATGCTTCAAAGAAGCTGATGTGTCGAACTTTTGATCCACAGCTTATTAGTTATATAAATTAATTCATGGTATTTGGTTATCTGATGACGTAACAAATTTGTGGCGTTCTCGTGACGAGTTTTAAATAACCATGCTTTATCAAACACTCTGTGGTTAATGAACTTATTTGCATTTTCGTTAATCGAACCGTAATTTTTGTGTTCGCGGTAGCATTTTTATCCGAACATATCTGACTAATCTGCACATTCCATAACTGAATAGGTGTTATACAGAGAAAATACAGAGCTATATGTACTCCGGTAGTATGCGAACAAAGATGGCGAACAGCGGAACATAGTATGTGCACCAGGTTAGGGTGGAATTCGTGTCGTACCCGGTTAGCGCAAAAGTGAAATTCGGGGCGATTGAATTTGATTGCACAGGCGGGTAAGTAATAAACCAAACTCACATTCAGGTTCGCTAACATATACGAGAGCATCGGTAAGAACAAGAATTCCGGAGTCCTGTAATAAAATAAGACAGCAATTTAGATAGACGAAAATAATGTCTCACAAAAATACTGACACTGCACTCCCATCGAATCGGAGGCGGTTCCACCGACATTGAAAACCGATTCCGGTGCACTGTTAATTTGTCTCACAACAAATAATCCTTGCAATCTTGCTCATAACTAATCATAATTAACTGATTAATTAATCATAAGAAGAAGAAAACAAAAATATTGACACTGCAGTCCCGAATTAGGTAAAAAAAGTTCACAATTGTAAATGGTATGACAAAGTATATTAACTGATGTATTTGATTCAAAAATTTCATATTAATGATAAGTGTGAAATTACTTTGGAGCAATATCATACAGATAAATGCTCCGCATTGAGATTAGAAACACATACAACTCAACTGCCTTATAAGAATTTACTATTCGAATCGATTCGATTTGAGGTGCCCAGCCCTAATCGTTATATATCTGTGAGTACCAGGCCTATGCCAGTGTGAAAAGTCTAAATGAGCGATATAGAAAATAATTGACAAGATGTGGGGAGATACTTACAGCAAATACTTCACGAACGTCAGCACCTCCCCACCATCTGCCGCCCCATCCATTGGAACCGCTTGATACTCCGTATTTGTCCAAATCTTGGGAAATCTGAGAGAAAGAGCATGTTTGTATAATTGTGGACCAGATGAAGGGGAGGGGGACATGGTTTTTGTACCAGGGACCAACAATTTTTCCCACCTAGACTAGTGGGTCATGTAAGTGTGACGTAAAATGTTACATTTTATGAAAAATATTTAAAGTATTACAAAAGCAAAAGTGGAAAACAGTAAACAAACCTACTGCCAAAACTGAATCTCAAACTATTCCGAGTTAGGATAAGTACTGTACATATTGTGGAGCACATGGTTAAATAGGAATATAAAATGGGATTCATGTTATGGCTTATGAGAGATAATTCATTCAGTAACTTTTTTCTTCTCATTGGGTGCCTGATCTAGCTACAAAATCGGTTAATTTCTCACTTTGTCTTTGGTGATATCGTTGCCAGATTTGAGCAGTAAAACACTTTGATCAATTGCTCTCAGACCTACGAAAGATCCTGCTGCTGCGTTAACTGTAATACTAACTGGCATCCCTGCGTCGGTTTTATCAGTATTTGTTGTTATGGTAACCTGAATTGAAAATTAGAAATATCAGTATTTGATACTGTCAGTGCGTTGGCCTGGTTATTTTTGTCATTTGTTCGAAAGGACGGAAATACTATTCTCGAAAACTGCATGTGAGAAATTGAGTGTGCAATGCCGAAGCAAAAAGTAGGCTGTGTAGAGCCTTGTTCAGAGCGAAATGTATATAATCGTCGTATAAAAATTGACGGTTGGATTAGGATGGGCAAGATTTTTAGACGAGGGGCCAAAAATTTTGCCAGCTGTGACGTAAAAAGTTACATTTTATGAACAATATTCACAGTGTTACAAAATTAAATGCAAAAAATTTGGCCCGCGGGCCATAGTTCTTTTAAAATTTCAAAAAACTCTTAGCTTGATGTTTATCACGGTACTTCTGCAACACAGGTTGTAAGTCATTGCAAGAATTTTTCGCTGAAATCGAATCTCTCTGGTGATTAGTCTAGTTTGAGTCTAGGTAGTTTTTCAAATTATTTGTTTAGAATACTTACTCAAAACAAGTTCACTAGGACTCACTCACAAATTAAAGAGAATGAATCTGAACGAAGCTACGGGCGACCACTAAAACGCTAAGAGCTACGGACACTATAAAAGACTCGACCCCCCTCCCCCTCCCCCCCCAAAAAAAAAATAAAAAATAAAAATGAAAACCCTTTCATATGCCCACCTTGTTTTCGAAGGTAGCTTGAACTGTAATTCTCACGCTGTCGGCAACAATTTCATCGTCGTCACGAATGAATGATACAATGACGTAAACATTTGGTGACATATCATTGGTGACGTCAAACATGTAATTGAATTTAGAACTGTCGGTTTCTTTCACGTATTCTGCTGAAGTGTAAAGCTCTTGGTTGAGTAGTTTTCCTCTGGATAGGAACTGTTGAAACAAGAGAGAAATATTCGAATATAGGAACACGAAAGTTTTAGGTGTCCCCATGCGTAAAATAAAAGTGTTCACATTAATTAAAATAAAACGGCAAAATTAGGTGAAATAACGGTTTTCATTGAGAAGAAATAACGGGCAATTCATAAAAATATATGGAATGGTTTGCCAGCAGTTTCAACCGTCTATAAATTTTAAGAATATGAAATTGCTGGGTCGATTTTATGGTTTGGTTTACGTGTGTTAAGGGCGTTTTTAACTCTAAGTATTAGATTTATGTAAAGCGACAAAAAAAACAAAAATCCGCAGCCAGGGAATAACAACCGGTACTCTTCGTTTGTTATTCAATGAACCGCGGTTGCCATAGTTACCCCGGCCTGTCGTGTCGAAATATTTTGAGAAATACTCAATTTTACAGCAATTAGATGATCAACTATTCTTTTATTCCTACCGTAAATCTATAACTATCCGCCTCTTCTGTGGTGTAAATAGTCAATCTGGCTTTTTCCCCTACGGTCAATGTAGTATCAGAAGTAGTGATTTGAATGAATGTATTAGAAGGTGATTTAAACGGGCCCGCTCCCCATCTTGTCCAGTATTCGTGTTTGTTCGGAGAGGAAAGGCTTTTCACCTGAAATTAAAGTTTGTTGTGTAAACTGTTTCCTGAAATGACACCATTTATAGCAGTACTACCGTAGTATGTGAACCAAGATGGCGGACACCGGAACGTAGCATATGTACCAGGTTACAGCCCTTTTTTTTTTATAACTTGATGATTTCAGAATCGAATCAAATATTTTTTCGATTCAAATCCTCAATACTTGGAAGTTTTTTAAAGTAAACTAGCTCTGCGCTTAGCAATAATAAGTTGGAAGTACGGCTGGGTGTTTGTTTTTTTCAACCAGCTTTGGTTCCCGCGACTTCCGATCACCAGTAAAACTGTGTAATTTTTTTTTTTTTGTATTTTCTGTGTTCTATTGTTTTTTTATTTTATATACTGGTTGAAAAAAAATAAACTTGACTTGAGCATTTTTGGCTACCTGATAATTTCGAATCTCGGATACCTGAAAGAGGTTTAAATTAATACAACGATGTAATATATACAGGGTGTTAAAAAAGTAACGTAAAATTAACAGAAGTTAAGATGAAATGCTACTTAAAACATTTAACAGCTGAAACCTTTTAACAGTATTTAATTACGGTAAAATGTCATTTGAACATTTCACGACTGACGCTTTTTAACAGTTACTTTTTTAAGGTTGCCATGACGAAAAATTTTACCCAAATAACTTTTTTAACACCCTGTATATCGATTGGATTTTTGTGAAACTAACTACTTATACTTATTCTATGCCGTTGTAAAGGTGACTATTCTGAGTCATTCAAGATACAAGTATATAAAGTGTTTCAAAGGGAATTGGCCCCCACAGATGTATTGAATGAAGTAAAAAAATACTTAAACAATTGATGATTAACATACAACAAATCTGGTTAATATATTGACAACTGACTTCATAACAAAAGTGAAATTGTAAAGGGACTTTATGAACACTCTGTATTTCTGTAACGTTTCGTCTGAAGTCCGTACTAAAGGATATTTAGTCTAGTCATACCATATAACCAAAAAAATTTAAACCTACCTTAAATATTACCCATCGGAAGTTGCTTGTATCGGCTGTGATCTTGAACAAAGCAATACCGTCTTTTCCTACTTTTATGGGAACCGACATTTTCTTTAGGTCTCGGCTTCCATCGGTTGGTCGTACACCACCGAATGGGTCCCATTGCCATCGATAACTGTGATCATGAATTAGGTACTTCCGTAGTATGTGTACCAGGTTAAGGTTGGACCATAATGTTATTCTGATTTTTCTTATTTTAGTTATATTGCAAGTTCATGGTCTGTCTTGTTAGACAAGTGAATATACCCCCTGCCCATAGGATTCTCTTAAATCGCACGCATCAAATGGGTAACGAGCAACGCAGCCGGGGGCGCAAAAGGCGGGCGTAGACTATTTTTTGAGGCGCGTGATGCTAGTTAAAATAAAAATATTTGGTTAATTTCGAAACACGATTCGAATAATTCACTATTCGATTCGAAATGCCCAACTCGTGCCCTACGCGTTACTGCTAGATTAATTTAAAGTAAATTAACAAAGCTTGTAATGTTGACTTACGTATACATAACACTAACAACCATATCCAACTTTCCTCTGTCTTCATCGGAAAGTAGAGTCCCATCTTGTTCTGTGACTTTCAACTGAAAACACAAAACAAAATTTAGAGCTGTAAATCGATATTTGTTATATTTTAGAAGTACTTTTTATTTGATAAAGATTTGTTATTTAAGAGCATTCCCTAACCCTATAATCCTACTGTAACTGTTTTTATCACAAATACGTTTTTTACGGGCAAATTGTCTTGCAGCGATTTTCATGCTATTACAAATACTTGTTTTACGGAAAAATGCTCTCACGGCGATTTCTCATTCGGCCAAATTTCCTGCGGCAATTTTTCGGGCACGTTATAAAGCAACTTACGTATGCTACGTATGGAAGTCCAGGTTTCATGTAATTCGGTTTTGCAATTGCTTCGACTTTCAAACGCTTTTCATGAAGTTCAACAGTCGTTGTAGCTGTTTATTAATAGTAATGTAAATAAATTAAAAGCATTCCTTCTTGCCTACGTGACCCAAGGCAAGGCTTAATATGAGAAATAGTATAGGCCAGGGTTTTACAACAGGCGGTGAACGGTCAACAACCCGTCCCACCAAGCGCTTTGGTGTGGCCCTTACCAAGACTCCGATTTTTCCCCATCAAGCACACCCTTACCCTATACCGACGATTAGGGCTACGGAGTGGCAGTTTGGTGCGTTTCTATCTATAAACTTATGTGTATAGGTAGATTGGCTACCAGTACTTGCCAAGTTGTTACTTATTTTGAATAAAAATGATGGTTATGAAAAATGTAAACTAGTTTTGAACCAATTCACAAAAACACTCACATAATAAGCATCAGAAAATTCGTAATGGTAAAGTACAGAAATTTGTTTTTTCCGGGGTCAAGGGTCATGAAAATACAGTCAATATTACTTTCTTACCATTGAATTCATCCCCCGTGTTTTTGTCGTTGACGAACGCGGTTATTTTGAGCGGACTTGAGTAATATCCGGTGTCCCATTTCAAGATATTTACAATATCAGATACATTGACTGAGAATGAAGCTGTTCCGTCGAACTTCTGCGAAATAGAAATTTTGTTACATGAAAATAATATATGGGGAAATTCGTTGGTTCTACAAAACAGGTATTTGTTATTTGAGTAGTTATTTGAGTGGGTTATTAGGATTTGAGTTTCGCAAGTAGAGATTAAAAACTCACGCGGAAAAATTCAAAGTTCCTTACCGCAAATTTCTCCAAAATAATGTTGGGTTCCCATGAATCAATTGTGAATTCAATTCTCCCGCTTCCTCTTACTGGTTGTCCAAAAGTAAACCTGTAAATAAATACGGATAAATGGCATGATAGGTAGGCCATAACTTTATAACGATATTATTTATTTTAGTTTTATTACGAGTTTGGAGACTGTCTGCGTTAGTCAAATGAAGGAGCTCCCGAAGTATGCGAACCAAGATGGCGGACATCGAAATGTAATATGTGTACTAGGTTAGGGTTAGGCCATAATTTTAGGTATAAATACTACGGGAGGCTCTTGGCTAGTCTTTTAACTGATAATAGGACTAAAATAAGGAAAATTGGAAAAAAATTATCGCCTAACCCTAACCTGTTACCCATGTTACGTTCCGATGTCCGCCATCTTGGTTCGCATACTTCGGGAGCACCCAAATGAATATACTCCCTGCCAATAAGTTTCACTCCCTTTGCACAACTCGTTGTGGAGTGAGCAAACAAAATTAGTTCTGGAGCGCCGAATTACCTTAGCATTTTCGAATTTGAACGTTCTAATTTAGCGATTGACGCCTTTGTGCCGATGTCAGAGTTATGAACAACTTAGGATAGGATAGGATTTACATATTTATCCCGGGTAGAGGAATAAAAGCCGATAATCATATGGCAAACGACGGCCCATCGTTCGGTTACCAGTCCAAGTCGGGAGTGGGATCAGTTAGTCAGGTATTTGTTTTCGGAAGCATGGACTTGATAGTATTCTTAGCATTCACATCTTAACAATTTATACCTAAAATTGAAATACGATTATAATTTAAGTATTGCTTATGGTATAACAGCGTTAACAGCTTTGTTGATTTTGCTGTTATACTTAGGCTTACTATACGTCCCAGTTTAGCCGGGACAGTCCTGGCTTTAGCAAGTTTTTCCGCCGCCCCGGCTGTAGACCTAAATGTCCCGGTCTTCAGGATGGCAGTCATAAATAATTTTTCTATTTGATACTATTACAATTTTTTTTAATGGAGGCAGCCGATTCACCACTCATTCGTGTCTCACTTCAATATTTCAGATAGAGAAACAATTGTCATGTCATAGTTATGATATGAAGTATGAACCCTGAGTTAATTCAACAATCAACTGTAATCTCGTTAAATAATCAAAATGCCGAAAACGAGTGCGAAAAGTGCGAGTTTTCTAATGACTTGAACAATTTTCGATATTTGAAGCAAAGATCAATAGAGAACATTTAAATAGGATTTACAGCTAATTTAGATACCTGTAATCTACCCACAATGGTATGAAAAATCTTAAAACTATTACTAAGCCTCTAGAATCGAACCAAGGTTGGCTTGTCCAATGCGCACTGTCGCGTTTTTTGCTTCAGATATATGATAAGCCCAGTTATATTTACAGGTAATAACTTGATTTTATTTTCGAAGTTATAGTTTGTTTGCACGACTCAGGACGTAGCTCGAGTGACCGAGTTCGTGAATCTTTAAATTTATTATTGATTCGATCCGAGTCTTTCTATCACTTGGCACTTGTCGCTCTAATTCAGGGGTGGGCAAGGTTTTTGAAGCAAGGGCCAAAAACTTGGTGCTTCAGTAGTATGTGCACCAAGATGGCGCACAACCTGAACAAAGTATTGTACTAGGTTAAGGTTCAGGTTATGCGCCATCTTGGTGCACATAGTCGCGGAGCGCCAAAAATTTTGTCCACCCAAACTGACGGGCCATGCAAGTCTGGCGTGAAAAGTTACATTTTATGAACAATATTTACAGTGTCACAAAGAAAAGGTGGAAAACAATATGCCGTGCCAAAACTAAATTTACCGCAATCTCAACAAATTCCTTAAGCTATTTTTTAGCTTAAACATCAAAATTTCATTTTAGTTCTGTTGTGACAAACATCAGGCCGGCCGGATTGAATTACACAACGGGCCGAATTTGACCCACAGACCGTATCTTCTCCATGTCTGCTCTGATCGGAAATAATTGACTTGAATCAAATTAGGCTTTAACTGAGTTGCCCAACCAGATATTCAACGCTCTATGCTTGGTTCCGATTATGTTAAATTGGAGTATGGTTATGAATTAAAGTTGGTTCGAGTCAGTTCGTTCTCGATTAAAATTCCAATACTAATGCTCTCGGGTGTTCCTGGGTCATTTTGACACCCCTCTATAATTTTTTTTATATTTCACCAACCAAAAATGCCAAAGACATCATTAATGTGTCCTTAAAAAGCTTATTTTCGTCGCTTTCCACTAAAACGCGCCCAAATTACGTAGCGTAAATGCGTCCGACCATATGCCGGTAAGAAGAGAGAAATTTCAAAAAATTTCGAGAAAAAGTTTCTCACTTTTAACGCTGTGGTCAACACGTGATTGATATGCGAGAGAAAGAGTTTTCCTTTGGACGAGTTTTACGTCACCTTCAAAATAAAACAAAAGTGGGATTTGTAAGTGAAGTGATATTCGTTTTATCGTAGAGCATTTGATCGCGTGCTGTATGGTATATTTGTTTGTTTATTATGAGCCGGAGAACGTTGCTCGCGCGTTCAAAATACTTCGTTTTCAACTAACAACAGATATTTTGTTAATTTTTAAGCTTTGAAATACTTATACAAATAAAATTGACCTTGTTGCAAAATATAAATTATACATAAAAAAAATATGATGACGTCACCGTAATTAAGAACACTCGGATCAAGCATGGATAATTTAAACTCAAACATTTTGAGTTTTGAAATTGGTTTTGTTCACATGCAGACCACTATGAAATACTATTGACCCCCCAAAATACATTTAATTCAGCCATAATTCCAAATTATGACACAGATTAGCCATTTATGACCAGGCCGAAACTCTAGGGAAGAACTTTACTTACAAAGCTTCAACTACTCCTGTTAGTTTTGTGGATCCAGGGTGCAAGAATCTCTGATCAGTTTTAATTTCAACTTTGAACTTTGGCAGTTTATATTCTTCTACTGATACTGTGATGCTTTCTTCATATCCCTGAACACAAAATAGTCAAATTGGAAACTTTTGATTACAACAGGGTGACAATCACTAATGGGAAAAACCCAGGCAAACCCGATTTTGGCACGCCGTGATAGTTTTTTGTAAAACGTGTCAAGGTAATGTATCGCGTTTCCCCGGAAATTTCATATCAAAAAATATTATTAGGGGTTATTTTGGGGGGATGTCTTTTATTTTCATTTAACTATAACAAAGTATAGAATTAAAAGATTTTCAAATATATATACAAAATATGAAAACCGATATTCATTTAACTTATAAATAAATAACACGTTTTTATTTAAAAACATGCTAGGTCTTATTTTAAGGAGAGGGCGGCTTATATTAAAATGAATTTCAAAATTCAAGCAAGGTCTTATTTTGAGGCTAGGTATTAATTTCGGGAAAACATGTCAGCTTTTCGTTGGGAGTGGTGGACCTTGCTATGGTGTCATTTAACCTCAGGTTCAAACCGCAAGCTCACCCATTGTGTGGTAAATTGCGCAGCCAACCCCGCACCAGAAGAGCAACAGCACTTTCTAAAATAATAGTTGTTTATGTTTAAACAGCAGCTTATGCAGGGCCTTGCGTGCTCCCGTAGTATGATTACCAAGATGGCGCACATCTTGAACATAGTATGTGTACCAGATTAGGATTATCAGGTTGTGCGACATCTTGGTACATATAGTACGGGAGCGCTGGGCTTTGTACGAAGTGAGACTTAAAAATGGTCTCATAGAAAAGCAGTTTCGAATCCCGAGATTTAATACACCACTCTTTGTGGTGCAAATTGAAGCTAAAAATCTTAAGTATTGGGACAGGTTTTTCAAGACCGGTTACTTAACAGAATACAATAATAACTATACAATGTTGGGATTTTTGGGACTCCTAATCTTCATTTGACGCATATTAGCCGCAAGCGTTTACTAGACGTTTTGCACAAACTTCAAAACGCTGCATAAACATATCAACAGATAATGATTCAAAGGTTGGCCAGACTTATCAGGCATACAACTTATTTGTATTTCCGTTTCAGCCCGTCGTTATAACATTATAAATAAATATATATGAATTCGACAAACTAAAATTTTTTATATTAAAGCTTATTTTATGCGATAAAAAAACGTTTCATGTATAATTGAGATACAAAATTTTAATAAGGTGTTTTTTTTTTACTGTTAAAATTCTACTGGTCTTTTGTTATATGAAAATTTGTTCAAAGCATTTTCTGAGAAATATAGGAAATTGATCTCTGGGCCACTAATGCGTCAAGAGCTACTGAAACTGTGAATCGGTAAAGTGAAGAATTGCATTCTAGTAGATAGCAATGTACGCGAGACTTGGCGGCTCATCAAGGAAAAAATGTTTCAGCATTCAGAATGGCTGATATAATGCGTCGATATTAACTGGCATTGTCTCGATGAAAACTAATTTCGGTTCTAAAATCATACAATTACAGCAATAGCAGGCAACAGAAATACACTTTGGAAACTGCCTAAGCTGGGGTCTGATTAACTTCGGTGCGATGTTTGTTATGTGAAGTTGACACATTTTTGTCCGTTTCAAAGTTGTTTAAAAAATCTTGAACTGGATTCGTGGTTACCTTTGAACCTAATAGAAATGCGCTTCTTACATTTGCCTTTGTACATAGCTGACCCTAATCATTGACGGGTCATGTGCAAAACGGCTTGCGTCGGGCTCAGTCTTGGCAGACATAAATATACTTAATAACCGAAATTAGAATTTTGTAAAGGGGCAAAATTAGTCCTTCAGATTTTTAACCGTAAATAAATAGTTTTAACTAAGTACAAAATTAGGAAAAAAGTCGTAAGAGTCAGGCCTTGGACCAGCCCTGTCTGGATAGTTAGTATTCCGTGAGCTGTACACCACTACACCACTGTACAATTATAAAATCAACTCACGTAAACTTTATAAGTAATCCTCCAATTACCGAGTGTTGCGTATCTTCCAAGTTTGAACTCTGACCCCGCCACTCCGTTGGTCAGTGTGACGTCACTTTCCATCAAAATAACATTATTCATCGGATCAGTGAGTTTGTAAGTCACAGTCGGAACTGAATCGTGGTGGTACCGGCTGTGCATAAGTGGAGTGAGGCCGGGTGGAGTAAGATCGGGTGTCGTAACAACTCCTCGAAATTTAACTGGATAAATAGGAAAAAACGCAAATGGTTGAAAGAATATTGGAATTGCACAAGGAGGGTTTGGGGGTCGGAACCTCCCCTTTTAAAATTTGAAAAAATGAAAGCATTTTTCTGTATTTTTCTCGTAGCTTTAAACGCTTTTCAGACCCAAAGACTCATGCAAACACACATTTTCCGGCTGTCGGCCGGACCCGCTAGCTGTTTCGATAAACTTGGCAAATAGAAATTTCAGAACACCCCCCCCCCCTTGAAAATTTCTGGCTATGCCCCTGGCATTATAGTGTAGGGCAGTTAAACCCCGGACAGACCATAAGACAATTCCATGCATCTGAAATCGATCTCGGCCAGTAAACGGACGACAGGCCGTGGTGCATGATTGAGCCTCTCCTCAAGAAATAAATTTGAAAACCTTTTTCAACGAAATCAATCGCTAGAATCCAGCGTGTACCATACTAGATAGATCGTTGTTCTCAAGTCTTGCAAAATGAACATTGGAGATTTATATTTTGAATCCAATTGAAGTATAATCATATTTGAGACAATCGCTGGACTTCTTAAAGTTGGTTCGCGTAAGCTTTGTATTATTCTAAATGGAAAAACTAACTGGCAAGTCATTCCCGATAGTTTGGCAACAGTTATTGGTTCACCATATGATTGGGCAATATTTTTTTTTCTTTTTATACATAATATCGTGTCGCCGCAGGAAATTTCGCCGCATAGGAAAAATCGCAAAAGCATTTTTCTGTAAAACAAGTATTTGTGAATAAAACAGTTAGGTTTATAAGGTTATGGTATGCTCTTAAATAACGAAGTTTTTTAAATAGGGCGATCTTTCTTGCGGCAAAATTTCCTGCGGTGAGATTTTCTACCGCGAATTTTCCAATAACCACATAATATGTACCGTAGACCAGAGGTAAGATCGGGCCCAAATATTCCAGTCCGGCCCGACCCAGGCCCGTGGGTATTGAACCCGACCCGACCCCGACTAATTAACTGAACTTGCAGGCCCGAAGCAAACCCGAAATTTTCATTGCAAGAGTTTAGTACAGTATGTGTCGTGTTGATGAGGCAATTTCTGTTTTTTTTTTACAGACCACGGTCTCTCGTGGCCTAAACACGACCGAATCGCCTTATTTGAAAAAAAGGTAGCAATAGAGAAGCCGACCTGATCCGAACGTAATGATTGGCATTTCATGCTAGACCCGGCCCAAATTTCGGGTCGGGCTCCAGATCTTAGCTCTACCGTATACTAACTAGTCCATATCCGCCATTTGAGCGAAATTAAAAAAAAAATTAGCATGAGTGTTAAACTTACTTGTGTGTTCTGGTTGATATATAGCTTTATCAGTTTGGATAAAAATAGAAACAAATTTCCTCTGAAATATAACGCCGTCAGTTCTGTTTTCGAACAAACTTTCACCAGTTACTGCGTCATCACCGTAGATCGCAAAAGTGAAATCTGTATCTCCGTCGTAGTCAGCGGGAAGCTTTATATAACAATACAACCTAATTTATGTTTAAAATGGACAGGCATGGTGTTGTAGAACTTTAAAACGTCTTAAATCAGGGTGGTCCAAACCTAGGCACATAGGCCACATGTGGCCCGCTGTTTCATTATCTGTGGCCCGCGTCGCGTTTGGAGAGTAATCAAAAATCGCATTTGGTGTTGTTTCGTCATAAAATTGACCAGAAAAACATTTCATTTTTGCATGTTTTAGCCTGATAAATGACAAGTGTTTGTTTTGTATTGCACTGTTTACCTGGTCCTGGCACTTTTGTTGCCCGCGACTGGCCGCGAGTAATGCAAAAATAAATTTGTGGCCCCGAAACGGACAAACTTGAACCACCCTGGCTTAAATAAATTCTTAAACGGCGGGCATAGTGCGGTAGTACTCCTAAACCGCTAAATATATCGACTCGAAATCGGTTATCGGTCTTATCGGTTCATGCATTCGATTTTCATCTTGTTATCATCTCAGATCGAGTTCCCGAATACAAATGTGTTTAAGCATCCCTACGAAGCATTGAGACACGTAAATAATTAATTTTAAATAAAGAAGTCGTTAAAAGATTCAGCTTACCGTTTCCATAACAATTCTTTCGATTGAACCTGAAAACACGACCATACAAATAATTTAGATGAGGGGAATTAGTGTTATGCATCAGTAATTGATAAGTCATAGTCAATTTTTTTTTCCATCCAGGAAAAAATAACATACGAAATTGAAAATAAAATTCAAAATAAAATTTAACACACATTTTTACTGGGGAAGGGAAGCCGCGGGGAACCAAAACTGGTTATCAAGCAGGCTGAAACTGGTTGAGTTTTCAGAACTCTGTTATCATTTTTGTGAGTGCGGCTTTGGCAGCTAAACCACAAAAAGCATCCACGCAAAGGTTATATGGGATGACCTTCTAACCCGCCATGTATTTATTATCCTACCCTGCCAGATAACTCGTAGGGTATTCCCCGGTTAACCAGGTAAACAAAGATGCTGATGCAATCGGATAATGCGGAGATTACTTTACACACAAATAGATACAAGTTTATTTCTGAATAATGTTATCCATATGGTCATTTTAGCCTTAACACTAATGCTGTTATGAATGACACGGAGAAACACTGTCAAGCATTCACAACACATGTATGTTAGTGCGCATAACTTGGAGCGTCTTGTTCGGAGCTATATGAAATAAAACATAATAAACATAACTCACCGTTATGGATGACCGCCATTCCTTCTACAAAATAATTTGCCGAACCCAAAAAAGCGGTCAATTGAACCGGGTTTTTGCTCTTGATTATCTCAACGTCGAAGGCAAATGGCGTCATTGGTCGAACATATTTAGGCAGGAATATGGAGTAGGTACTGAAGAAACGAAAATTGAATTGTTAAATTATAGTAACATAGGAAAGGCTTACAGCTGGACCGGTTTTAGGCCGCTGCAACCTACGCGGTCGCAGTGGTCCCCACACTTTGATAGGTTCAGTTCTAGCGCTTGACAATTCTTGCTATTGCTTTAAGAATAAAAGTCGGAATTTCCTTGCAACAGTGTGGCTCTTGTAGTCTTAAATTCTATTCCGACGGGCCTTTTTTCGTTGACATTTTAGTGACGTAATTTTTGGATGACGTAGTCAGCTGGGGGTTAGAAATGACATATGCGAAAATGGTGAGCCCCGCCACCTAGATATACTTGACGGCGTTTAGTGAACTAACTAGCTCCTTAAATTTTATTATCCGCCGTCGGGAGCGAATCAAAATTCTCATATGTCGGATGGAATCTATCGAAATGCCGATTACGACAATCTAGTGTTGTTGTGAGTAACCAGCCAATAGACAAGAGTGGGTAAGGTTTTTGGATCGGGGGCTATAAATTTTAACCACCTAGAGTAGACTGACAGGCCATGTAAGTGTGACGTAAAAAATTACATTTTATGAACTATATTTACACTGTTACAGAAGCAAAAGTGGAAAACAATGAGCCTCGTACCAAAACTAAATTTAATTGCAATCTCAACAAATTCCTTGAGCTATATTTTAGCTAACACATGATTTTGGTTATGACGGACCAGTTTGAATTATCCAGCCGGCCCGCGGGCCGTAGTTAGTTCCTGCCCATGATAGATCCTGAACATCGATAATTTAGTGAAGTGAAAAACTTACTTCTCTCCTACCGCCGCCTGTGTTGCAATCAACAGCAACGACAAGGTTGCCAGTAATTTCATCTTAGACTGTTTAATTCTGAAAAGTAAATTAAAATCCGTTAGTAGATAGTAACATATATATTTTATTCGGATTCTGTGCAGAACATATTTATGATAGAATATGAACCACAATTCTGCCCGTCACACTGTATTGATTTACGCATCCATATTTAAACCACAGTACTACATGAGATTCCCAAAACTTTAAAATATCGAAAAACTCTAACCAAAAAAATGCGTGATAACTAATCCCATACCCGACATGGACGGGACAGGAGGCTGTGGTTTGCCATATAATTGAGCCGTCTAATCGGCTTTCCTCTCTCCCGGGATAAATATGTAAAACCTATCCCATCCAAGTGGCGATTGGGATCATATAAACAAACTTATTCCTAGTCTTATAATCATCTGTTTGGGCCATTCAGTTACCAATCGCGACCAGTTATGTACATCATAAATTTATAACTTTTCGCCGCGGAAGAAAAGTCGGTGGTAAAGCCAAAGCACATGGAGAACCACGGCTCATTGATCGTAGCTATATTATTCTGTCTGTATTCTAATACGAATAGTTCCAAAATATAGCAAATCGAAGAAATCAGGGACTTCTTAATATGAATTATATAGCAGGACTCGTATGTTTTATAACACAATTATGTAATTCCCATTCCGTAAAGCAGGGGTGTGCAACCTTTTTTACAAGAGGACCAGATACAATTGACTGGGTGGAACCGCAGGCCGCAAATTTATTTAACATAGGCTTTCTAGTAATCCTAATTTTTTTTTGTTATCGATCTAATGCGTTGTTCCCTTCGCACAAGCTAGCTGTTAGAACATTGTATTGTCATATGCGTAGATAATAACTCGGATTTAGGCTCGTATCATTAAAAATTGGCATCTCCCCGCGGGCGGCACAATTTTCCTTGTGGGCCGCATTTGGCCCGCAGGTTGCACATCCCCGCCGTAAAGAATAAAAAAGATTCTTACCTTACAAGTTGTGTAGTCTATTCCAATACTCTTAAGATATCTAACTTCTAACTTACAAATCATGGATTTATATAACGCCGATCAACTCTGCCCTTGGGGCTAAAGTGGAAAATGATTCCACGCGATAATAATTTCGATATGTACGCAACAAATTAAAAAGCAAAAATAAAAATTTTGATTTAGTAATCTTATATCACTTGCTATATGTCCATAGCTTTGCTCAGAGCGATGTTGGACTAAGGATTAAATATAAAACAATTTGATTTAATATGACATTTGTATTTTAATTAAAATTGGAAAAGTCGATGGTAATTATTATATCGTAACAACCCATTTCCTAAATACTATTTTCAATTTTACGTATAATAATAACACACCAACCCAATGAAGTGCTAGATGTAAATTACAATCAATAAATATAAAATTGAATTTTCTAGTAATAAATACAGGTATTGTGATTACAGATTGAGCGTATTAAATTAGCGTTCACGCTACAAATGAAAGCGAATGCCGCAAAACATGTCGCAATTCAAAAAGTCTTGCAGAACATAATTTTGAAAATAGGATGCCCCAACTTCTGACAAAAATATCTTCTTGAATCGCTCAGATCAGTGGTTCTCAAACGATGGGGCGTGGCCCACAGGGGGGGGGGGGGCGTAGAATTTTTTGAGGGGACGTGTAACTAATTAAAAATATTTGTTAGATTTGATCTTGCCCGACTTATTTTGGATATTTACATTTCAAAACTTTTTATTTATTTCATTATTCACAACATATTTTCAACATGTTTTCACTTTCATGTTTTTTTTCAATGAAACATACTTTCTCTTTACTATCTGTTATTTGTAGCTTATTGTTGACTGGTTATTTCTGGGGTGAGACGCGGGACTTCACAAATTTTAAAAAGGAAGCTTGACTTGAAAAGTTTGAGAACCACTGGCTTAGATTAATATGGCCTAGTTTGATCGATACATGAATATCTGTTACAACGGACTTGTGTGTTGTATTCGTGTCGAAGGGTCGTGGCGGGATCTAATATTATTCGTCCTTACTGGCGCGGGGTACAGTCAGATGAGATGACGAATAAAATGCGGATTGAATTGGAACGATTTCCCACAAGTTAACCTTCAAAATGCTACACAAGCTTGTACTTCTAGGCTAAGACACTGCTCTGAAGCGCACGTATGACATTTTGAGAACCTATGAGTGTAATATAACATATGCATTTAAAAAACTTCGAAGAAGTTATCATTTGCAAAAATAACAAAATTTCTGTTTTTCAACGACCACCTTGTATAATTGATAAAATTGGCGTTCTTTTATTTTATTTATAATCCCCAACAGATACGCATACTGTATTTGTCAATATTTATCATATTTATATTTTTTTAATATTCAAATGTTCGAAAAAAACAAAAAACAAAAATTTAGTTTCGCTTTCAAAAATGATAAATATTGATCAGGAAACACGTGATGTGTAAAATAAAAACAACTGTATTTGTTTTCAGAATTCTTATAACTTCACAGTTTTTGTCCAATTTATAAATATTCCTATTTAGTCTAGATCAGGGGTCTCCAACACGCGGCCCGCATTTGCGAGCAGTTTTTTTCAACTATGAAAGTTAGCAAGTCAGCTCTCCGCACACGACTAACAGACGAGCATTTGCATTATGTATTAAAACAAGCAAACCAACGCAAAATAAGGCCAAACATCGAGACAAATATCCAGCATGAGTAAATGAATATGTTTTATATCTTGTTTGGTGTAAGATTCAAGTGTAATTCGATTTATTTTGATAATATTTTTGTATCAACTTTGAGAACTCATACAAATAGGAAACAAAGCCATTGATAAACTTTTCTTGTAGTCATTGATCCTAAATGAATTTTGCAATCGCTGAAATTTAAATCTGCAAATGATTTTTTAGTCGTTGCATCATGGCCATTCTTGGTTATGTGCTTCCTCTCCACTGAAACTCCCGCTCTCTGGAAGTGTGTGTACCAATACGTAGTTAACTATTTTTGTTCGCCTACTTTACATCAAGTTGTGTAAAAAGACTGAAGCCTGCTATAGGCAGGGGGTATATTCACTTGGCTAACACAGACATATCCCGAACTCGTAATATAATTAGAGCCTAACCCTAACCTGGTACACATCTACGGGAGTACTCAAAAAGTTAATATCTAAAGAGTTCGCGTGTCCTCGCTTAGAGTAAATATAATTTTCCATATATAAATAAAAAATAGTACATGAGTATTTTTGTCCGCGTTTACAGATTTCAAAATTTGTATCAAGATTGTAAATTGTAATATATATGCTCGGTTCAAATATGGACCAAATATATATAAATTCCTGCGAACATAGTTGTAATTCATCAGTGATACTGTCACGTCCTTTTCTTAAAAAAAAAAGGCAAAAAATAAAAAAAATGATTTCAAAAAGTTACCTTTAAAATACAACTCCACCTCGAAAAAAAAATACTAGCAAAGCAAACTTGTTTTCAACAGTGTAACCTCATTTTTCTGAATTCTAGATTCTTCGGAGAATGAATTTTCATGAAATGTTGTGTAGTGTGTAGAACTGACGTGGGCAAACTACGATCCGTGTGCCAAATCCGGATAGTTGGGTGATTCAAACTAGCCCGCCTGCTGCTTCCAGAACCAAAATAAACCCAAATTTTGACGTTTTATTTAAAAACAGCTCAAGCAATTTGTTAAGATTGCGATTAATTTAGTTTTGGCACGAGGCTTATGGTTTCCCACTTCTGATTTTGTCACACTGTGAATATTGTTTATAAAATTTAACTTCTTACGTCACACTTACATGATCTGCCAGTCTAGGTGGGCAAAATTGCAAAATTTTTGGCCCGTAGTCCACCCCCCCCCCCCCCCCCCCCCCCCTCTGGTGTAGAATAAAATAACCCCCAGGTAAGCTACCCGTTATTTCGGGTGTTCTATTGACTTTGCTCTACGTGTTGATCTCATCTCTCTTACAGAGTGACCTAACAAAAACAGAACTTGGACTATTTGAAACATATTCTAGAGAGAAAATAACTTTTGTACAAATCATCCTAGATTATCGAAACTTTTGGGCTACAATCATACAACAACCAGAAGTTCAATTGTTGAATAAGTACTTTTAGGGCATATTATTTGCATGCTCGAAAACATGACCAGGGATGACGTTGTTTATGGCGGAGGAATCAGAATTCGAAGTTTTACTTTAAAATTGATTGTCGGAGATAAAAATATGTTTACCAAACACTTTCACAACAAAGTACGAATTATTTGAAAACAAATTCTATTTGTCAAATAATATTACACAAAACACGAAAACGTGCATTATATTTTGTAAAAATGAGTCACTTAATACCGTAATGCAATAACATATTATATTTACACTTAAACCCGCGATTTTAATATTATAACTATCGGTATAACTCATTGAGTGGGACGGTCACGAAAATTTGAGTCCGTGCCCTGTGCTGAAGATCAAATTGGACACCTTGTGGCGTCATAATACGACGCTTAGATTATATTCTGTTACGCCATAGAACAACCATGCCTGTCCGGAGTAGATATAGCGACGTAGGCCACAGAATTGCCTTAGGATACGTCAGTCTAGACTCGCATAAACTTTATTTTTATATTCAATAGTTGGTAGTCAACTTTGATCCGTTCATCACCAGATTTTCCAATTTTCGCCTAATCGTTTTGTAAGTACGCTTCAAGGAAAAATATATGATGTGCGTGCACTTCCTAATTTCGCGGAAATTATGAATAGCTGAGTTTTTCGAAATAAAATCTTCTCGATCTTAGAGAGAAGAGAATAGATTCTGGTTCTTTTTAAATAGATACTTGTCTGTAGTGAAAGGCATTTAAAAAATCCATTTGATATAAAGTTTTTGGAAGTACGGCGAAACTGTCGGAGTGGTAGCCATGGGGTTCCAACCTGAAATCTAAACTAATCTTATAATAGCTTAAAACATTAATTAGTGATCTTTTAAGATAAACACATTGCAAAATATGATTTTGTGTTGTAGGCATATTTAAAATAATTATCAATAAAATGTTATACAATAACCTTTTAAAATATTTCATACAAAACTTTTCAGGGATTTATTTTCGCTCCTGGATATAAAATAGCAACAATAAACACATTCATGTAGCTTGATAAACCCCCTTTTCCTAGCTAAAGGATTCGTAAGAAACCGGAAATGGGTATTGCGTAACAAAAACGGGCAAAAATGATTGTCTATACTTCTTTGATGACTATTTCACCATACAAGGTAACATACAAAAAACACAAGATCAGCCTCCTCCCACTCTTTTTATTTACTTTGTCTTTCTCATCCCAAAACTGTTTCAGATAAAAAGGAGTAAAAATATGGACTGGTATACCATGAACGATAGCAGTAATTTCTCTCGATATTCACGGCTGTAATAAACCTAGTACGCCGAGCACACGATCACTTTGCGACGGTAAGCGCGAGCCGCCTAAATTGGTATCACAGACACGGTGATCGTATCGGGAACGAGCCACAACAAGCTCAGCTATGTGTACGTACAGCAAGAGTGGAGTTTTCCAAGTAAGTGTCTAGGATCTACGAAAAAATAGGTAAATTTCTCTTACTCCATGAAGTGTTAAGAAAAGCACTCTGATAGCATAGAAAGATGAAACATATACCGGTATATATATCAACGCATCATTGATATTGAAAGACTACTCTTTCTACATCCGCTTTGGTTGCCTAAAAATTAAACTGCAATATGCAGAATAAGCGATAATTTTACCAATATTTCATTCTTAATAATCAATTTATTGCACGGAACGTTAGCTGCAAATAATACGGTTTAAAAAATTATAAAAACAAATCTAAATGTCACCGAACTACATTAATTAGTATGAATTACGTAACCACATGCAACTTTGTTTGAAAGTTTTGGCATTGAATCATAAATTCCCTAATATATCGTATAACACTTGTGAGAAATTAAGAATCAGACTTCATATTAATATCCTAACGTTCTAACAAAGAACTATATGTCTATATTAAGAAGTGTGCCAGAGAAAAAAAAATGCCGCACCACATTTCTGAGACAGTGAGCAGTGTGTGAAATATTTCACCAGAATTCAGACAATCCTCATGGAAATAGAGTTTTGACAACATAAACTTCGACGATGAGCAAGTTTTTCTGTTGGCTGAGAAATTTGTGGTAACAGAAAGTTTAATATAGATTATGCTAAAAATTATACCTTGAATTCTGCTATTGAAATGTCATTCCCCCCCCCCTCTTATAAAAAATTCTCATATACCAGCTAATGGCCTGTGTATGAGAATCGGTCAACTACTGCATTAGGGTACACGAATATCAGAATGATGAGAAAGAAAATTCAGACATTTTTTGATGAAGCTGGCTATAAGGAAGTATAGCATGGGTGTATATGCTGGAAATTATTAGAATACTGAATAATTGATATCATATGATGAATAAGACTAGCAAAAGGAAATATATTAAGGAAGTATAGCATGGGTGTATATGCTGGAAATGAGTAAAATACTGAATAATTAATATCATATGATGAATAAGACTAGCAAAAGGAAATATATTAAGGAAGTATAGCATGGGTGTATATGCTGGAAATTATTAGAATACTGAATAATTAATATCATATGATGAATAAGACTAGCAAACGGAAATATATTAAAAGCACGCTTTGCTGAAAAATTTAAAACTTTTGATTTAAATGATCTGATTCTTTTTGTTTAAAATTTAACTATCGGTTGTTGCAATTCTGAAATTAAAATTTAGTACAGAATGTAAACATGGAGTGAAATGTACTTAAAATGGTATACAACTTTTCGCCTCACAGACTTTTGGGTTATCGGGACGCACAAGAAAGTTAGAGATATGAGTTTATCTTCACTCATATTGGAAGTTACTTGGGAATAATAGTATATGTGTGGATTTATAATATATAACAGGGATGGCGAACCACTGTGACCCACCACACTCTTTCGGTGACCCCCCCAAGGCACGAATTAAATAAAAACATATTAGTGATAAAAATTGATAAAACCGGCTCTAAATAAATTTAACAATAAGCAAACTATTATAATTTACCATCAGCTGGGCATCAAGGGAAGCGATAGCTCAAACTCAAATTTTCGGGTCGATATGATGATTTTAAAAACTCCCAATCTTGAACGCACGTCTGCACCCCTGTATACTGTTATGCAGCTATTGGCTGTGACATCGTTTATGACATAATAATACAATTGATCTGTTCATATTTCGCCACGTCTTGTTACAGCGATCCATTTCGAAAATTTAAAACCGAAAGGCAGACTGCAGATTGTTTTGGGGGGATATATGAGAACCAGATGTTACTTTGCATTTTATTGGATTCTCGCCTACAATGCCGTTGGGAAACAAAATTTTTTAGACTTAAAATAAAGAAAGTGTGAAAGTGCCTTATTGTGGTTAAAAGCCAATCGAAAAATATAAATCTGTCAGAGTGGAATTTCCTCCAAACTCTTTGAAACCGTAAAATAATTTGCAGCATAATACCAAACGTTTTTTTGGTAATTCATGTGTGTGTTTTAGTACACGAATTTCATAAAAATTGTGTGCCATAATGAGTCTAGTAGCAGTAGGCCTGGTAGAATTGTGGCATAAAAAAGCCCAAAACTAAACAACACCAACTGAAGCTCATAAGGTTTGCAAGATAGGATGCAGCAGCAAGTTTCGTATAAATACAAACATTGATTGAATATCTGTGACCCACACTCTTCCGTTCCGTGATAAAAATATCATTTTTGACCCATTCATTGAAAAAGGTTCGCCATCCCTGGTATATCACATTATATTTAAGTGGATGAATACATGTGGATTTATATGACATTTAGGATTAGATTATACTGGTGCCGTTAAGTTTGGTAAAATTCGTGGGATGAAAAATTGTAAACTAGGACCTTCACATTGCATATCAAAATTTTCTTTTACATTCAAATTGCACTCTTTATCTTAAACTGCTTTAAACCACAAACAATCTTTGCTAATCGACCCAAGGACCCCAGACTCCTCCCCTGAGCGAAGGATCACAATTGTCATCCGGAGGTGGCCAAAGTACTGGAACTGCAGTAGCGTTATATTCAGCTAGTCGCTCCAACATGCTGTCCACGACGTGTGGGAAATAGCTTGCCATATTCGATCTGAAAATTGGAAATATGTGTTATGTGGAATTCATACCTTATAGAACAACGGTTCCCAACAAATTACCCATGGCCCTCTCCAGGGGCCCACAATGCTACACGCAAAACTCATTCCACTTCACAAGAAACCCCTCCTTCCGCCTGCTTAGATAGCAAGGTGTCGGCAGTTGATGGACAAATTTCCTGCCCAGAGTCGCCGATTTATCGCAGAGATTGCCATAGCGACCAATTATGTCGCAATTTTTATCCCTGTTTCACGCAACATTCGGAAGAAGCTTGCAGAACACTGTTTGAAAAACGCTGATATGGATTGTCGGATTTGATTTTAAACTTGCGGAGCCCCTGGACTTTACTGACAAAACCACAAATCAAAAGCACTGGCCATCAAACCACCTCAAATATACAAATATGTTACCTTTCTTCAGGGTCCGCCTCTATATCATACAACCTGACACTAGAATCATCTATAGTTGGGAACAAACCACACTCAGCCAAATTCTCCGAATCCATTTCGCAAGATAAATCTACTTCTTGAGTGAGATAGAGCTGAGGTGCAGGGTTCCACGTGTCATGACCTGGATAATGAGGAGGATAATTTCATTTATATACACAAAAAAAAACCTTTTAAATCAATGTTTCTCAATCAGTGAGGCGCACACGTGGGGGTGTGAGCTAATTAAAAATAAAAAGATTTGTTAGATTTGATCTCGCTCGCCTCTTGTTGTATATTTATTGTTGTATTTTCTTTATTTTGAATTTTTATATTCCATCCCCGTATTTCTGATGTGTTTTTTGAATGAAACATACTTTCGCCTTACTATCTGTTATTTGTAGCTTATTGTTAGCTAGTCGAGACTAAACAAATTTTATAAAGAAGGTGCGGCTCAAAAAATTTAAAAAACCACTATTTTAAATGATTAACTGCATGAAAGTTTTTTTATTTTAAGAATTTAAAGTTGAAACGCAACCAGAGAAATAATGACCTCTTAGTTGACCTTTGAGCAAAGTAGAGCCATTGTGAGCCAATAATACAGTAAACGATATTATTCTTCATCTAATTTGGTCATTTCAAAAGAGAAATGTAGAATTTTAAACATACCTGGATCTCCAGTATGTAGTTTCCATTTTCCGATTCTCAATGCAGTGTGGCCTTTCACTGTGTCAATTCCATGTTTATTAGGAAACGGCTTCAGCTTTGGATTCAACCCGTAAGGTCTTTTAAACATTGGCTCTATATTGTGGAGAATTTCTGTTCTAAAAAATGCAAATAATCGTGACACAAACGGAAATTACCCGAAGAAATGTAAACCAATGGAAAATATATCTTCGAAGCCTTCGAGCAGTCGTTCTCAAACATTTTATTACATTCCGATCGTCTAGCTAGCTCACTGGTTCTCAACGAGTGGGCCATGGCCGGGGATGGCCCACTTCTGGGCCATAGAGATTTTTAAGTGGGACACAAGCCTATTAAAAATTACTATAGTTATTGTAAATTTTAGTTGCATTTGTGACATTGTGTCATTGTATTCGTTTATTGTAGTAGCAATGAATGATGATGCTGGTTTTCATTCTAATTATTGAGGTGAAAGTATTTATTTTGCAAAGAGAGTCTAGGAAAATTCGCCGCAGGAAATCTCGCCGTAGGAAATTTCACCACTTAGGAAAAATTGCACATAAAAAATCGACTCATTTAAAATAGATTCGTTATTCAAAAGCATACCCTAACCCTATAAACCTGACTGTTTTAATTACAAATACTTGTTTTACAGCAAAACGATATTGCAATTTTTCCTATGAGGCAAAATTTCCTGCGACAAGATTTCCTACGGGGAAATTTTTTGGACACAGTGGCATTTTATCTAAAAGAGAGCAACTAGAAAGATTCAGGTCAAAAATAGTATCTATTTACATCACAATGCTTGCATAATTAAGCACAGAAGAATTGTTAGATTTTTTGGCAGCCTAGGGTGGCATACATCAAGTAGTCGCTTGCCAGTTGTGACTTCCCCTGCTAAAAAGTCTGTCTGACATGGATTGGTAAACAGACAAGAAGCTATGGTTTACCATATGACAAACCAGGGGGGTGGTTTTGGAGGCCGACCTCCCCCCCCCCCCTTTTGTAATGTAAAAAAATAAAAGCATCTTTCTGTACAATACATAGCAATTTTTCGTGGCTTGAAAGGCTTTTTAGACCCTCATGACTTAAGAAAACACACGTTTTCCGACGTCCAGCCGAACCCGCTAGCTGTGTCGATCTAACTTGGCAAAGAGAAATTTCAGAACTCCCCTATTTGAAAATTTCGGGGTACGTCCCTATGACAAACCATCTTGAATTTCTTCCCATGACAAAATATAAAAACCCATGGTTGCAGTTCAATCAACTCACCTTGGAGAAGAACTATCAGGATCCGCGATAGCGTTCCATACATTTACTCCATCTAGTGGTTTCGTACCATTTGTATTTCCACCAGCAATATTCAATAGAGTAGGAAACCAGTCTGATACATGAAATAGTCCTGCAAAATGAAAATTAGTACAAATTGGTCTTTTCTATGGCGTATTTCAATGCTTCACTCTGGTCTTGGATAGGCTGAAGTTATTGGAAATACTTGAAAATACCAGATTGAAGTAAATTAAAAACTAATTTTGCGGGAGCACACCATCCAAAATTGGCGCTTTCCCGCGGGCCACACATTTTTTCTGTGGGTGGAGTGCAGACAGAATCGTGAATCTAAGTCAATTGTAGAATTTTCTCAACTCCACAGCCCTAGTTATACGATAGGCTTACCTCTACTGACTCTACCAGGGTTTTGAACGCCATAGCCAGTCACAAATCCAACCCCCCGTATTCCACCTTCCCATAAAGATTCTTTTCTGCCACGTAGTGGCCAGTTATTGCCTCCATATAATGTTTGACCTCCATTATCTAAATAAATACAATGTTACGCACTCTGGCCTTTTTCCATGAAGAAAAGAATAAAATGAAAAACGTATAAATTGTTGCTTAAAACGCAAAACTAGATAATCTTCTATTTCGATAGATTTTTGAATTGTTTTTCAGAAAATGAATGAAGCTCCTTTCAATTTGACTCTAAAATGTCATGTTTCGGCCAAAGGTAAAAAAAAAATTTTTTCATGGCTCCTAAAGAACCTGCCTTGATTAAAAGGAAAATTATTCAGCACCTGTGATGAATACATCAGGGTCTCATCCAGTATTTCCATTTCGAGTCAAATCAAATTTATACCTTTTGCTCAGAGCAAAGACCTGCACACTCATTCAGAAATAAAGGAGACTGATCTTTGAGCAGAGTTACAAGACCACCACCAAGTGCCAATATCTACTCTAAGCAAGCAAACGCACACACTGAAACATGAAGAATATTGATCTATATTATGCGAAGTTACAGGAACCACTAAAGTGCCGAAAGATACTCAAACAATGTCACACACTCACTCAGAAATAAAGAGATTGATCTCTGAGCAGAGTTAGTGGCGAACACTAAAGCGCCAAAAGCTACTCTAAGCAAGGTCACTCGCGACGCACTAATCCAGAAATAAAAAGATTGATCTCCGAACGAAGTTATTGGAGGAAACTAAATTGCAGAGAGCCACTCAAACAAGGTCACGCACACTCACTCAGATATAAAGGAGATTGGTCTCTGAGCGAAGATAGTGGCGAACACTAAGTCGCCGAGAGCTACTCAAACAATATCACATGCACTCACTCAGAAATAAAGAAAATCTATCTCCAAAGTTAGTGGCAAATACTAAAGCTACTCAAACAATGTCACGCACACTTACTCAGAAATAAAGTAGATTATTCTCTGAGCAAAGTTACAGCTGCTGAGACTATAAGACTAGCCAAGCCAACAATATTAATAATCACCTGTGCTGAATACAATCAATGTCTCATCCATCATTCCCATCTCTTGTAAAGTCTCTGCGACGAGGCCTACCATATCATCCATTACTGTGACCATTGCTGAGTAAACGCGTCTGTGAGGGTCTTGAATATGGGAATACAGTTTGATATAATCATCTGGGGCTTGCAATGGGAAATGAACTGATTGAAATGGTAGGTAGAGAAATAAAGGCTGAAAATAGAATGATAGTAAAGTTATGACTCAAAGAATTTTTTTTACCAGGAAAATTAGTACTCCCGAAGTATGTGTACCAGGTTAAGGTTAGGCCCTAATTGTATTCAGATTTTCCTTATTTTAGTTCTATTAAGAGTTCGGGGACTGACTTGTGAATATCCTCCTGCTCATAGGTATCAGTCCCCTTACAGAACTTGATGTAAAATGGGCAAACATAAGTTACCTCCATATTGGTACACATACTTCTGGAGCGTCAGAAAATTTGCTTAAAGCTTTCCACATGCTCAAAAAGGACACACACAATTATTCAGAACAATAGATGACTGAGACTGAGCGAAGTTACAGCGAACATTGATCCATCTTGCGAAAATACTTTCAAAATGAAAAAGAAGTTTTGCAGTGACATTTCAGGGTGAATCGAGATGGAGAAAACCAATACTGGTTATTAATCAAGCAACAAAATCATCAACATGATATAGTAAAAAACCTGAATAAGATCATCTATATATGTATACTGCAGTACTGCACCACAATAACTCGAGGGTGTGCAACATTTAATACATGAGGGCCACTTTCAAATAACTGAGAGAAACCGCGGGCCGCACGCCCGCACCCTTATTCAACATAGGCTTTCAGATAGTTGCAAGCACAAAAATCTTGTAATTAGTCTTGTGACACGCATTTGATCAATATTGATCTAATGACACGTATTGTTTGCTTCACATAAGCTAGGGCATTGTAACGCCATAAAAAGGTGGATTCAGCTATAAGCTTTGCAACACAACAGGATTCGGATTAATCGCACGTACCAGATTAAGCTGAATTAAAAACTCGTTCTGCGGGCCACACACAAATAAAAATTAGCATTTCTCTTTGGGCCGCGCATTCGGACTGCGGGCCGCAGGTTGTACTCCCCTTCCCTCACAGCCTTTCTTGTAAATGGCATAGTCATTATAGTCAGTCATTCGCAATAAAAAAGTCACCCATGGATTAAAAAAAATCCCTCTTTAGCCAATTGTTAAAGGACCTTGAGCACAAGTAACATTTTATATAGCCCTACAAGTTAACATTTTAAAGCAATTTTGTTTCCAACATAAACTTTCCAATGAAAGACTTACCTGACTCTGGTTATGGTTTATAATGACCTCTCTTGCACGTTGACCATATAAAAACGTAGAGTAAGTTCCGTTAGCTGACCAGGCCGGTTTTTCATCGTCATGGAAATCAAAACCACAGTATTTTCCACTGTGTTTCCAACCATGGAAAAATCCACAAACTGTTTTCAGGTTGTAATCTTCATTACCACAGTAGTAACCTGTTAGAAGAAAAATTGGTGCTCCAGAAGTGTGTGTACCAATATGGAAGTAACAAATTTTGTTCGCCTACTTTACATCAAGTTGTGTAAAGGGACTGGAACCTATGGACAGGGGGTATATTCATTTGTCTAGCACAGACAGTCCCCAAACTCATGATAGAACTAAAATAAGGAAAATAGGAATAAAAACCCTAACCATAACCTGATACACACATTACGGGAGTACCAACAAATTATTTTCAATGAATGTATTTTTCTATGTTTTTGCTATGGATCACTTAGAAAATTGACAAAAAATATTTTCTTACTTCTTAATAAAGTCTTTCTCCCCTAACAAGGCCTGTGAAGGAAGCCATATCTATCAATGTGCAAAGAGCTACTTTTTTAATTTAATCTTTTTTAATTTCTTCGACTGTTATTTTAACACAAATAATCCAGATGCACAACCACATGAGTTTTCCAAGAAATGATTACTCAATGAATGGTGTATACACACATTGACATTGAAGTTAAAATAATAATTGATTGGGTAGCCCCATATTTCAACTTCGAATTGTAACAATATTCAATGAGTTTCAATTCCCATCAAATTTCCCAGCACGAACAACCATTCCTCACCATAATGACTATCAAATCCTCTATAAGTCGGTAAACATTCCTTTCTATAAAACCCAAGATGCCATTTGCCAACAATATGAGTTTTGTAGCCAACTTCTTTCAGCTTCTGGGGCAAAGTTACTTCATCTAATGGAAGACATAACTTCTGAGGTGCAAAGATTACACTATGCTGCAGACCAGTGTGGATCTAAGAGTAAAAATTCATTTAGTAAAAACAAGTTAACTAACAGATTCGTTAGATAAGGAGTTTATAAATATGGTAGGATTTTTATATTTATCCAGAGGAGAAAAGGCCAATAATGAGGCTTAATAATCTTATTATGTATCACAGCATCTAGTCCGATCACCAGTCCATGATGATTATGGAATTAGTTAGGTAGTCATTCGTTTTAGATGCATTGGCTTGATGGTGGAGGAAACCGTATCTGACCAGCGGTAAAAGTAAATGTCTGTGTACTGTATTATGGTTTTCATGTATAGTTACATTATTGCATGTACTATATATTGTCATATTAGAGCATAGTAATTTCAAACTTTAATTACATCATATTACAACATGATCATATTATAATGTAATTATTCTGTCCAGTTATGCCTCAGTGATTTCTAGTAGTGATAAATTCATATTTTATTAACTAACTTGGTATCTTCCAGTCATAAGTTGACTTCTACTCGGTGTGCAGACAGGTTGAACATAATAGTTTTCCAGCTTCACTCCAGAACTTGCCAGCTGAAAAATATTAAGAATTCCTCTACAGTTTTTCCAAATAAAAAAGACAGGATTTTAACAATTAGGGACATTATAACGACCAGTTATGCTACAGCGATTCTTGCAGTCAAGAACAAAACTCATCAAAGTCAGTAGTCATCAACAAAACTTAAAAAAATAAGAATCAGAAATGCCAATATTTACAATCTGCTAAGCAAAGAGCCAAAATTTAGCAATTCAAATCAGAAGATTGGAAGTAAATTAACAAGATAGAACTGTCTGACTGTAGAATATGGCCTATTTGCTTATTAGGGTTCAGGTTGAATTTTCCGAATTTAATTAGAATTATGTCATTACCACATTACAGGCACTATGCAACTTATTAAAAACAATAAACTAACCAAAATAACCAAATCATGAGTAAAATGATGAGATAAAGTGAAAGTATGGAATGAAATTCAAATTTCTAATGGCTGAATGAGCATCCATTCCATCCAAGCCCATAATAATAATAATAATAACTTTTAAATACAGAAATAACTTGCATGAACAATACAACAATGAATACACAGAAATGCAAACAGTAAACTCAACTGATGTATTTAGTCTAATGCTAAATTCCAGGACTATAATATACAGTACCGGTACTCTAGATCAGTGGTTCCCAACCGCCGGTCCGCGGACCGATGCCGGTCCGCGAAGCTTTTTTGCCGGTCCGCGAGAAATTTCGTTGTTTTGTTTTTTTATGCCGTCTCAACCGCTTTACCGTAGACAAAGTTGTGTTGGCTCATTACGCAATTCTCTTCTGCCGTCATATTGCGACGTCTTTCGCGACATGTTGGCGCCGTCTTACGCGACATGTTGGCGCCGATCACTCACATTCTTCGCTTTTCCAGCTCCGATTCATCGCGAATGCGCTCCATCAAATCTCGCAAAATTAGGAAGCCAAAAAATCGGCCCGCTTGCTTTTTCTGTTCTGCGTGCTTTTCCTAATTAATATGACCATCCATATAAAACGTAATGGATATATCCTTGTTTAAACTTGAAAACAGTCAAGAACAGTATAATAATCCAGTAAGATATGAACTTGTTGCGACCCCACAGGTGGTCACGAAACACGCAAAAAAAGGATGGGCCGCAGAGATGTTTTCCAGACACAGTAGGATTTTGAGCTTGTCGCCAAGTTATGGACGCCTTTGTCATTGTAATGCAAATTCATTTCGTTTGACGCGTCGATTAACTGCAGAGGGATTATGATGAACCCAATGAAAAAGAAAAGGATTAAAAAAGAATTACTTATCCCAATTTTAAATATCTCTTGATAACGAATACCCATCGCCAAGTAATCGAGCAATCAAACTGTTGTCCGGATTTTCAGCCAGTTACTGCGTTATGCGAAAAAACATTTTCCTCACTAGATTCAATTAAAACGAAGCAAAGAAATCGGCTGCACGCGGCTGCAGAGCTATACGTATTGCAAAAACTTCTTTGAGGCCTCGTTTGCAATCTTATATCGGAAACAAAACAGCAGCAAAATTCTCACAGGAGTTAATTGTGCATGTTTTTAATGTGAGACTTTTTTGCGTGCCTTTCTTACGCATAATGGGTGCCCAGCACTGCATTTCATTACGCAAATATATGGTATTATTTTATGTTTCACCCATTTTTAATATTTTGTCGGCACTTTATTTGATAGTTATTCTCCGTGTAAAAGGTTTTAAAGTGTGTTTTTTTGTCTAGAAGCATATTGAGTGCCCGACATTGCATTATTTTACGCAAATATATGCTATTCTTTCCAGCGTTACGGCCATTTCAATTTTTTCCGGTCCGCGAGTACATTTAATCTAATTTTACCGGTCCGCCAGGGTAGAAAGGTTGGGAACCGCTGCTCTAGATTATGTACAACTGTCTGACTGTAAATATGTTCTAATTAAAATACCGGTAGTCAACTTCACATGGTACCGGTACCGGTGGAATACGGTACCGTACCGGTACCGTACCTACCTTGTCCAAATTCGGCGTAAAAATATCTGGGTTGTGATATCCGATGTCATTAAATCCAAAGTCGTCCGCCATGATGTAGACAATGTTGGGTTGTTTTGTGGCGACGACCGACCCCATCAAACCCACAATCAAGGTGGTAAATATAGCTAAACGCATACCGGTATTTCTTTTTTTTTTTTTTTTTTTTTTTTTTTTTATAATACAATATAAAAGGAAATACACAAAATTAGTAAATACAAAAAACTTATTATAAACCTGATTTAATATCTAAATTAATGCTTTACATAAATTTTGTAATTCTTTTTCAAAGGGTTTGTCTACTCTGGAATTTTCTATATTTTTTCTATACATTAGGGCCATTTTTATCTGTTTTTTAAGGAGAGCAATGTCAGGTGTTTTATTTTCAAATATTATAGAATTTCTCATTATCCAAATTTTATATCGCACTATTGATAATAAAAGAATAATTGCATTCAAATCTAATGCTGTTATATGACTAAATAAAGGATCATTAAAATTCAATAATATACAAGAATCATAATTTATAACAAAATTTATTCTAATTAATTTTAATATAATTAAGGAAACAAATTCATCATAAATTTTCTGAGTAAACTCACAAAACATAAAAATATGTGACACAAACTCAGGTTCTATATTACATAATAAACATAATTCATTTCCTGCTACTCTTTTGATCTCTGGTTTTGTTTTCAAGGGTAGAATATCCCATATTAACTTATAGTTGAAGGTCCTCATATAATTTGCCAAAATTTTATTATGAATACTGTTACAAGTTATACTGAGATTTGAATTACGGATAATTACAAGTCTTTCCCCATTAATACTTTTTAAAACTTTATCATATATAATTCTATGTTCACCCATTTTAATATCATTCATATTTAAACTATAAGTTTTCATAAAATCAATTACGCTTTTATAATATTCATGTGGACTAAATCTATGTAATATACTATTATTCAATGGTAGACCTAAATAAACACATAATTGTTGCCCTATGTTATATTCTAAGTAATTAAAATTGATAGTTCTGTCACTAAATATCACATTATTTTCTATAGTTTCTATATATTCAAAAACACACATAATATACATAGACATTGTAAAAATTGGAATATTCATTATATCGTATCCCCCCATACATTTTGGCTTACAAATGGTCTCTATTTTGAGCTTTCTTTTTCCATTGAATACAAATTTTTCAATAATTTCATCCACTTTTTTGGCTACATTTTTTGGCATCGGGAATATTTTACATAAAAACAAAAATTGAGGTAATATCTTGAGCTTTATTATTAAACATTTTCCTTCTAAAGTAAGAGGTATTTTTTGAAGATCAACTGCTATTTTCTTCACTCTCTCCAGACAATTATTCCAGTTCCAATTTCCAGTATTATTATTGGCAAATTTGACGCTTAATATTTCTATTTTATCTGCTATGGTAATGTCTTGAAATGAAGGGTCCTTTGTCCATATTCCGAGTTTCGTTTTAGTTCTATTCAATTTCATTCTAGTAGCCAATTCATGTTCATCGATAACTTTCAATGCTTCATTTATAGAACTTTCCTTATTTAAAAATAGTGTAACATCGTCTGCAAATTCTAAATTTTTCAGTTCCATATTTCCTGGCGTCACGATTCCTTGAACATTTCCATTCAAGTTTATACTAATTAACAAAGGTTCTATTGCTATGATGTACATAAAAATACTCATTGGGTCACCTTGTCTAATTCCCCTTCCCGGTTTGATTTTTTCACTTAAATAACCGTTTATTAGTATTCTAGTCTCAGCACCTTCATATAGACTGTGTAATAACATGATAAATTTGTTTTTTATGCCAAATCTTTCTAAAATTCTATATAAATAATCTAAATCTACTGAATCATATGCTTTCATGAAATCTAACGATAATAATGCCTTTTCCCCTACTTTATTTTGTTCTTGTATACAAATATTTCTAATAATTAACAGTGTGTCACTTATCCTCCTCCCTGGTACAGCACCTTGGTGTCTATCTATGATGTCTGGTAGAATTATTTTGATTCTGTTGGCAAGAATTTTACTAAATATTTTATAATCTGAATTTAAAAGAGTTATTGGTCTGTAGTTATTTATTAGATTTGCTTCTCCTTTTTTGTATAGTAAAGTTATGTAACCCATTTTCATTTCTTTCGGCATATCATTTGTTATAAATATTTCTTGTATTACTTCAAGAAATTCATCTTTAATAATTTCCCAGGTCTTTTTATAAAATTCTATTGTTATTCCATCAGGACCCGGAGATTTGTTTCCTTTTAAGTTTTGGATGACCCCCATTATCTCATCTAGTTGTATTATGTCTTCTAAATTATTTGCTTGTTCCTCGTTTATTTTGCGATATGATTCATCCACTTTGTTTAAAAATAATCTTTGTTTTGTTTCATCACAATGTCTCTTGGTATACAATTCTTGGTAAAATTCCTTCGCAATGTTCATTTTATCTTGGATAGTTTCACATTCATCTCCATTTTTATTTATTAGTTTCCTTATACTTGATTCTTTCTGTCTTGTTTTGAATAATTTGAAAAAATATTTGTTGCATTTCTCATGACTATCATACTCTTCTGCATTCCTTTGTATACCAATTTTCTCATTCTTTTTCTTCTGCATCCTGATTAATTTTTGTTTTGTTTGTTTAAATCTTGTCATCACTCTTTCTCCTTTATCCAGTTTTTTTTTCAATAACTTCAAATTATCCAATTCAATTTTATATTCTTCTCTTTCTTTCTTGGCCATTTTGACAGAAAATCTAATTGTTAAGTTTTTGATTTTTTCTTTTATCTCAATCCACCACTCAGCTTTAGTTGGAAATAGCCACTGTAATGTGATCCAATTGTCCCATTTATTTTTTAATTCTGAAATATATTCTTCTTCATCATACACTCTAACATTATTTTTCCAATAGCCCTTTCCACGTTCTTCCATTTTTGTTTTAATTTCAATCATTATTAAATATACATCGTGATCAGAATAAATAGTTGGTTCACACATTATTTTTTGGACAATAGTTTCATTGGATGTAACATAAAACCTATCTAATCTGGCTTGAACTTGGTAATTACGCCAGGTATAAAATGGTGTTACATTAGAAATTAATTCAATGGAATCAGTTAGCTCAAAACATTCAATCAATTCATTTAGAGTGTCTGAGACATATCCTCGTCTCGGTCTTTTAATATTACCAGTTCTATCTCTATCAATGTCATGTACACAATTTGTGTCCCCCCCTAAAATTATTGTATGTTGTGAAAAAATAAATCTGTATAACCCATCATAAAAATTGTCTTGTATATTATTATTAGTTCTACATGGTGCATATATGTTTACTAAATGTAGTTTTTCACCATATACATTAATATCTGCTGCTAATGTTCTTCCGTCGTTATCCCATAAAATGTTTTGTAATTCAAAACTATTTAATTTTGATTTGAGTAGTATTGCTACTCCTCTAGAGTTTGATGATGCCGAGTTCCAAATACTGTTTCCAAATGTCCATTCTTTGCTCCATTTACTTTCTACCTCTGGTGTGCTGTGAGTTTCTTGTATAAAAATGATGTCTGCATTCCGTTTGGAGAGTTCATGAAATAAGTTTCTTCTTTTTTGGTCATCCCGGATACCGTTCACATTCAGAGTAAGAGCAGAAAGAAAAATTACCATTACAATTATTTAGAGTCAATTAATTGGAGATTTAACAATTTGTGTTTAACAATGTATATCAATCTGTATCCATTTCTTCGTCTATAAATTTTCTTGCTTGTTCAAGTGTCATTGTACAACTTTTTAGTCTTTTTTTCTTCTTTTTTGGACTTTGACTTTTAGGCGACTTAGTACTATTTTCATCCGAATTTTTAGTTACGCTATCTTTATTTATGTCAATGTTTATTGTTTATATATATTCTATGGTGCTTCCTACACTGGATTCTTTTTTGCTTTCTTCATCGTTATTTTTAGAAGCATCCAATGGCATAATATCTTGTTGTGATTCTGTATTTACAGAATCATCTCTAATTTCTTTATCACTATCTTCTGCACTGATTTCTGATAAGTTACCAAATAATTCAGATCTGAATTTTGTTTCACTGTCGCCATTTTCATCATTTGTGATTACGATGTAATTTGCTGGAGTACTTTGAATATTTTCATCTTTTTCGTTTTCTATGCTCCCAGATCCATCTGATGTTTTCTTATTCATTGGTTTATCTTTTATGTTTAATCTTGGGTTTTCAAATGTTACTAATTCTTTACTTTTCAAAATTGTAATATCTTGGTCTGTCGTTTCATATTCATTGCTTGTTTCATTCACTGTTGTTTGTCCTGATATTTCTGGTTTTTCAACCATTGTTTCTTTAGTTTCTCTTCTTTTAACTTCAATTCTTTCATTTCTTGGTATATACCTTTCACATTTCTCCATCAAATGGTCTTCGCTGCCACAAATTCTGCAAGTAGGTTTTTGGTTCCAGTATTTAACAAATAGAGTATGCCCTTTGATTTTTATATAACTTTTAACTGGATTATTGATTATGTCTGAGGTTTTCAAGAAAATTCTTCTCATTCCATTTTTCATGCCTTTGTCATCTGTTAATTGTTCTATTTTATTTGTAATTTTTCCATGGTTTTCTTCAAAATGTTCTTTTATTGCTTCATCTTTCATTGGGAAAGGTACTCCATGTATAGTTATAGGAATGTTTTCCGCTATATACAGCCTATGCATGGGTAAAGCTCTTCTGCCCCCTTTTTTCATATTCCATAATTTTTGGTCTACTTCTATGGCTGTTTTTCTTGATTTGTATGTAATATCAACTATAGTTTTCAATCTAATTAGAAACCCATCTACTGTAGAAAATTCTATTCCTACATCCTCAAATAAAGTCCAAATATCTTGCCTTCTAAGTCCATTTGGATAACATGTTTCATCAAATTTCAACGACATGCATTTAGATCGATCCAATGTATTTCTTTCTCTTTTATCTTTTTCTTGGCTTGCCTTTTCCGCATATGATAGTACTCGAGTTGTCATAATACAGCAATACTTTATCAACAACCAGACAGCGAATTTATATATTTTTATAATAGTCTACTAGCCAATAATCG